GCCAAAATTGGGGTCTGTTTGAGGATTGTTGGATTTCAAGCTGGGTTCGGGACCGTTTGTGCGGTCATAACAGCAACTCGGTGGATGGGGCCGATGAGGGTGGCGGTGGACTCGGTGGTGGTGGTGACGGTGGTGGTGGAGACGGTGGCGGAGACAAGGGGGGTGGCGGTGAGGGTGGGGTAGGCGATGTCGGAGGAGCTGAGGGTGGTGGGAGGGACGGTGGCGGTGATGATGGGAATGGTGGTGGTGGAGACTGTGGCAGACCTGGCGGTGGTGGCAGGTCGTGCCGAGAAGCGGGTGGCAATGCACACGCACACGGACACGGTGGGTGCAGCGGGGATGGCAGCGGCGATATCGACTCTGGAAGCAGCGTGGCGACAAGCATTGCTCGTATGTGGCGTGAACGGCGTCGGCGAACGCTTATGTTCAGGGCGGCCTCCGTTTGCGCGGAACTCTCACGTGTGGCGCCAATTTTCGAACGGGCCAGTAAAATGAGGATTTCACAACAGAAAAATGTTTTCTTTCCCCAAAGTACAATCCCCAAAGTAAATTGGGGACTGCGAGAAGGGAGAGGAGGTGTTGTCCGCTGCAGAGTTATAAAATGAACTCTGTCCGCTGCACATCTTGTCAGCGTGGGCGGGCAACACGAAAGGGGGGGACTCAAAGCGTCAATCAAGGCAGGTGCAGGGGTATCTTAGGACTTGCCCGTGAGAGATTGGTTATCGCTGCTTCGTTCTTACTGCACGTCCCGTGACCGCCCACATGCACAGAAGAAGGATCAAGGAATCCGAGACGTGAGACTGAGAGCCGCCGCGCGTCACCGCGACCGGTGTTCTCCACACACAACACTCACTTATAGTGTGTGAATCAGTGTGTGACACGCGGGACACACGTCTCACGTGTCCCTCACGCGTAAACGGTGGGGCAGGGGGTGGGGGGGAGGGGGCATCTTTCCGAGTCCATATCACTCTGGTGTCTCAAAATCTCAAAATCTCTTCTCTCAGTTAATACAGCCGCACACCCTATTATACGGCCCACACACGCACGCGATACCACCATCTGACACGCCCCCCCCCCTCTCTCTGGCTCTCTCCGCTCTTCGCGGCGTTTTTTCAGTGCCAGGAGAGGATGGCGCTGACCACCGCGACTGGCGCCATCACAACTCCAAACGCAACGAGCGTGATATCGAGGGCGCGCCCCTCGCCGTACCGCGGCTTGCACAGCCGCAAGTGGAACCAGCCGGGAAAGATGAAGGCGAGCGGCACCGCGCACAGTCCGCCGGCGAGCCCCATCAGGTTCTCGTACGGCGCGTAGAGCGAGCTGGCAAAGGCGGCGAGGACGAGGCAGGTGCGCGCCGCGCAGCAGGGCAGCAGGCCGCTCTCGTCGGAGAGGCCGAGCTTGTCCTCGAGAGCGACCATCGCGGGGAAGAACTGGAGCGGGTAGGTGAGCACGACGGTGAGCACCTGGTTTGCGGGCCGTGGACGCGTCGTGTGCGTGGCGTGGGCCGAGGCGGGCGCGCGAGGCGGGCGCACGAAGGCGGCGCGGACGCCGAGCGCCGCGCCGCCGTTCAGGTTGAGGGTGACGAAGGTTGCGGTCGCCTGGGTAGGCTTCCGACGGGGCGGTGAGAGGGATGGCGCTGCGACGAGGCAAGAGAAGGAGGCGAGAAGGTGCGGTGACAGAGCGCGGCGAGGGAGGACAGGCGTGAGAGCGAGATGAGAGACAGAGAGCCAGCTGGGGAGAAGCGGGAGAGGCGGGGAGCGAGGGCGGGGGAGAGGGAGAGGGCGGCGGGGGAGATGGCGGCAGCAGGCCTCTCCAAACGCGACGTACGAGCAGATCCCGAAGACGAGGAAGGCGACGGTGCCGAGGGCCATGCACGCGACGATCATGCGTGGGAACGCCTCCGGCTCGCTCATCGCCTCGCGTACCGGCAGCACGATGCCGATCCCCTCGAAGGCCACCACGGCCTGCGCGGCAAAGAGCAGCGTGCCGGGACCGAACCTCGCCGTCCACGCAACCTCTCCGACGTGCTCGAAGTGGCTCTGCACGAGGTCCGTGCCGATGAGCGCGAGGATGACCGCGACGGTGCACCACAGCACCAGGTTTGCCACTGCACGGGACGCCGCGGGCTGTCACGGATGTGAACGGCGGCGGCGGCTCCGGCGCTCCGGCGCTCTGCCGCACCGAGCATTGGCCAGCCTAGGCGATGTATGTCTCTCACCTGGAGGGGGAGGGAGGGGCTGGCGCGGGCGACACGGGCCGGCTGCAGCGTCCGGCCACCGCGTGCCGGAGACTAAGCGCCGCGCGTCTACTGCCGGCTCGCCCAGCAGTACGGCACGAGGACAGGCAGCTGGACGAGCGTGAGGAAGGTGACGGAGGGCGGCAGCGGGAGGAGCGACTCGAGGACGGCGCGCGTGTTGGTGGCGATGAAGATCGGGTACGAGACGCAGAACAGGAACTGCGAGGCGACGAGGCACGAGTCGACGATGACGTACCCTGCCGCGCCCGCCGCCTGCCGGCCGATCTCCGCAAAGGCGCCCTTGCTCACGCTGCTGAGCCTCTGGCCGCGGAGGACCGCGTCGTGGCACTCGAGCAGCTGGAACATGCCTGCTCGGAGCGCGACAGGGCGGCGGTGGGGAGGCGCTGCCCTTCTGCGAGCCGCTCTTGCTGCAGAGCGGTGCCGGCAGCCGAGAGGACGCCCACGACTGCAAACATCACCGACGCAAAGAGCACGCCCACCTGAGGAGGCATCGGCCGCCGGTGAGGCCGGTCCGTTCCAGGGCGTGTCGGGACGCGGCCGCAGGCGGCGGGGCGGAGCTTGCGCAGGAGGCGGCACCGCGGCGCCTGCTTGTACATGCTCGGCACAAAGAGAAGCATCGGGCCGATCATCGCCTTGAGCAAGGTGAGCATGGCGGTCGTGTTCCCCATCTGGCCCGACGCCTCTCTGTCAACCGACGCGGTGGATCCAACCGATGCCTTGTTTCCTCCGAAGAAGGAGCCAAGCGAGTGCTGGCTCATCATCCCCGCGCCGCCGGTGGCTCTGAGGTGAGCGTGAGTGACGATGTGAGCGTAGACCTCGAGTTCGCCGTCTATGGTCTGACGCATCGAAAAGATCCGCGGGATCAGGCCTCGCCGTCTGCCGGTGGGCAGCGTGTCGTGCGTAGCGGCAAGCGCACCGCCTTTGATATTAGGCTTGATCGCCTCCACCTGGCTCAGCGCTGGCATGCTGACGGCGAGTGTGCTACTCTTCCCGCCCGCAATCAGCGGGCGGTTGAGATCGCTCATGCCGGAGCCGCAAAATAAAATTGGAGCGTGCCGTCGAAGACAGCAATTCGATGTCAGCTTCGGGGCAGCGGTATACCGACATCGGCGATATCACCGTACCGATGTGGAAAAAGAATTACCGCGGAAATCGCGGGTCGAGCTACATTTAAATAGAAGTCGCAGGAGTGCGAGGTACACTGCACTCCAAGTGCTCCAAGAGTTACGAGTGATCGCGGCTCTTTCACTTTCAGCCATCCGCGTCCTCCTCACACCTGCCGGCCTGCGGCGGCGGCACTAGCTGGTGCCGCATGAAGCGCGAGTAGGCCGAGCCCGCGTCGGCCGAGAGTTCCGCGTGCGTCCCGCTCTCGACGGCGACGCCTCCGCTCAGGACGAGGATCCGGGTGGCGCGCACGACGGTGGAGAGGCGGTGGGCGATCACGACGGTGGCGCGCCCCTCCATGAGGGCCTCGAGCGACGCCTGCACGACCGCCTCGTTGGTCGAGTCGAGCGCCGAGGTGGCCTCGTCGAGCAGCAGCAGCCGCGGCTCCTTGCTGATGGCGCGCGCGATGGCGACCCGCTGCTTCTGCCCCCCGCTGATGCGCACGCCCTTCTCGCCCGGCCGAGTCGCGTACCCCTCCGGCAGGCTGCGGATAAACGCGTCTGCGTTTGCCCGCTCGGCGGCGGCGATCGCCGCCTCGTCCGACGCGCCGGGCCGGCCGTACTTGATGTTCTCCATGAGCGAGCAGTCAAAGAGGATGGGCTCCTGCTCGACGAAGCCGATCTGGCGCCGCAGCCAGCGCAGCTCGAGGGCGCGGAAGTCGGTGCCGTCGAGGAGCAGCGCGCCCTGCTGCGGGTCGTAGAAGCGCTCGATCAGCCGCCCCACCGTCGTCTTGCCGGCGCCGCTCGCGCCGACGAGGGCGAGGACGCTGCCAGGCTCGACCTCGAAGGAGAGCCCCTTGAGGACGGCGCACTCCTTCGCGAGCGGGTAGGCAAAGCTGACGTCCCGCAGCTCCAGGTGGCCGCGGCAGCTGGCCGGCTCGGCGCCGACCGAGGGGAGGATGGCGGGGCGGCGCTGCAGCAGCGAGAGGAAGCGGCCGGCGGCGATGAGGGTCTGCTTGGTGTTGAGCCAGATGCCCGCGAGCGCGGTGAAGCCCTGCTCGTACAGCGAGACGTACGTGGTGAAGGCGGTGAAGGAGCCGATGGTCAGCCGGCCGGCGAGCAGCTGGTGCATCCCGCACGCGAGGACGAGCACGTCGCGCGCCTGGAGGTGGGAGTTGGGGAGGGAGGGGGGGGGGGGTCGGCGGCGGCGGGCCAGGCGGCGGCGGCTTTGTCTCGCAGGGGCGGGAGCAGTGGAGCGGCCGGGAGGCGCGTGACGGGTGCGCTTCGCGGCAGGTTGCGCCTTGGAGAGGCCGAGCTGCGCAAAGATGACCGCGGTCTGCGTGTTGACCGTCACGACCACGACGCGCAGGAAGTGCGTGAGCCGCTCGGCGAACCGGCGCGCCTCGCGCACCTCGGCCGCGTTCGCCTGCACCGTCCGCATCGCGCCGAGCACCTCGACCGCCTGAGCGTTCGCACGCGCCATCGCCTCGTTCTGCACGACGCCGTACAAGCCCTGCACCTCGCCGGCGCGCCGCACGAGCAGCCAGTTGAGCGGCGTGACGACGGTGGCGAGGAGGGCGAGGACGGGGTGCGTCGCGAACATAGCGACGAGCGAGCCGGCGAGGCGAACGACCCCCTGGATCAGGCTCTGCGAGGTGAACTGCGCGAGCGACTGCAGCGCGCCCGAGTCGTTGATGAGGCGCGACGAGAGCTCGCCCGACACGTGCGCGTCGAAGAAGGCGGCGTCCTGCTGGACCAGGTTCCGGTACATGCGCACGCGCAGCCGCGTGAGGGCGGTGTGCGCGGCGAGCGCGTAGAGCGTGCCGACGAGCACCTCGAAGAGCCACGTGCAGAACTGCAGCGCGGCGTATGCGCCGAGCAGCGGCAGCACGGCCTCGCCCCACGCCTGGTCGACGGCGAGCGTGCCGTTGGCGCGCGCCACGTCGACGGCGACGTCAAAGAGGACGCCCTGCACGTACGGAGTGCCGAAGGAGGAGGCGGTGAGGAGCAGCGAGCAGAGCACGCCGCTAAAGAGGTACAGCTTTGGGCTGAGCGCCCAGAGGTAGTGCCATATCGACCTCTCCCTCTCCTCCTCCTCCTCCGCTCCGCCGCCGCCGTCGCCGCCCTCCTCCTCCTGCCGGCGGCCCTTGCCCTCGCCCTCGCCCGCCCGCCCGTTCGCAAGCCGAGCCTGGCGCTGCACCTCACGTGCCTCCTCCAGCATCTCGCCATGCAGCCTCCACAGCCGCGCCGCCTTGCCGCCGCAGCCCAGCTCCGCCGGCACCACCCTCTCCATCGCGGCCAGCTCCGCCTCCCACGCACGCCGCTCCGCCTCGCGCGCGGAGAGCTGCTCTGGCGCAACGCCAATCAGAGACGCGTCCAGCGGCTCACAGGTCGCCCGCTCAGTGCCGCAGCGGCAGCGCATGCGGCGGTGCCCGGCGGCGGCAGCGGCAGCCGAAGTGGCGAATAGCAGGCCAACCTCGACAGGCAGCCACCAAGTGAGGTGTGCGCGCGCAGCGGGGCACGAGAGGCCCAGCGCCAGTGGCACGACGCGAGCACTCCACGCGGAGAGGTGAAAGGCGAGAGACCAGGGCGAGCCTCTCGGCTCGAGAGCGGAGACGGCGGGCTCGAGGCACCAGGTTAGAGCATAGCAGATCGCGCCGAGCAAGCCTGGCGTCGCCAGAGGCCAAGCCGGCGCTGGAGCGTGTCCGGCCGTCAAATACGGCTCCACGAAGACAGCAGCCAAGGCGCAGCTCAGACCGAGAGCCGGCGAGCCGAGGAGACGGCCCAGCGGAGGACTGGAGCGAGCCTGCCGCCGCCGCATGCCGTTAGAGACGGCGCGCAGCACCAGCAGCAGGAGCAATGCTGATGGTGGCACGAGCGTAGCGAGGCAAGAGGCCTCGTTGGCAGAGTGTGAGCAGAGGTGCAGTCGCACCATTTCTTGCTCGCTCAAAAAGAATTTTACACGGTGCCCTGTGCCCAGCCCTCTCCACGCCGCGATGCGCCCCCTCCCCCTCGCCCTTGCAAAATCCTGCAAAGGTGGGGACGTGTCTGTCCTCGACCCAGCCCAAGCTTGGGATGTCCGTCTTATTTATTTATAGGCACGGGACTGTCCTCCCATCCCTCCCTTGGGTTGTCCGTTTTCTTTCTTTCTTTTCTTTTAGGCACGGGACTGGGTGGCAAATGATCGCAGTGGGCGTCAGAAGACTTGTCCTTGCTCGAGGGGCCAGGATATGCAGCGAGGAGGGCGGAGCTGCGCCGAAAGGCGCAAGACGCCGCGAGAACAAGGGACCGGCATGCGGCGGCGGCGTCGCAGAACGAGGCAGAGGAGAGCGACGCGACAGAGGAAGAAGCGACAAGGGAAAGAACGACGAGAAGGGGGCGACCGCGAGGTGGCATGAAGGTCGCAGCGAGAATCGGCGAGAGACTGCGAAGAGAGATAGGAAGAGGCGGACGCCCAAGGGTGGGCGACGGCTAGCGCATCACACCCCTCATCCCCTCTCCTTAAAATCCCTGTGTGGCGGCGGCGTGCCGTCCTCCCATCCCTCCCTTGGGTTGTCCTTTGGAGCACTTGGAGTGCGGTCATCAGCCTCACATCCAGGACCGGGGAGCTGAGGAGCGCACCCAGTTGGCCGGATGATCGGGATCGGGTTACCGGTCCGTTTTCTTTCTTTCTTTTTTAGGCACGGGACTGGCGCGCACTGGCACTAACACAGGTAAAAAGAATTCAAGAACCACGCATCTCTCACAGCACGCTGGCACGACAAGAATTCTTCCTCCCAGAGATTCTTCGTACTTCGAAACCAACAAGAAATCACACTCTCACAGTGATTGGGCTCAGTAAGGCTCGTCCCCAAACACGGTGTCGGTGAAAGGCTGTGTCGGCTCGCCAAAAGGATTTTCAGTGTACGTGGCTCTTACGAACATACCCGAGGGTGGACTGCTGACAGGGTTTGCGATGAGGAGCGACTCCGAAGGGAAGTTTGGCGGGCTTAACGGAAATTCTTCCCTCTCGCGGTTTGCGTCGCGCGTCCCCCACCCAAGGGACAAGGGGCGGGACCGCCCCGTTTCTGCAGGAGGCGACTCAGGCCGGTCTATGCCCGATTGGCTGTTGGCAATACTCACGTGTTGCTCGTGCACGAAGCGCCCACGCGATCGTAGCATCGTGATCCGGTTTCCCTCGTACCACGAGGTCAATGACGATGATCTGCAGGATGACCGACGGCTGCACCGTCGGCCGACTCGGCAGATAAACGGCTCAGCGGTGCGGATCTCCAGCCACAAGGAATACATCCATGTCATCCAAGCGCAGGTGCGAGCCAGAAGTGAGAGGCAGCAGCGGAGACGGCAGCGGTCGCGGTTTGAGAAGGGACGAAGCGCCGAGAGCTTGTCAGAGACGTCAGAGCAGGATGATTGATTGCGCGACCTCGATTTTAGACCAGGAATTTAGTGCACACGTGGCAATGTGCGTGGATCAGATCATGATTCCAGATAGTATAGGTGACTGAATTCGAGAGACGAGACTAGCGCTGCTGTGAAGTGTGTGTGATATCCGACCAGCCTCTGTTTTGCTTTCTTTCATCTTTGTTGATCGTCTCTCTTCCACAACGGACAGCCACAGCAACACAAAATGGAGACTTTCACTCTCACCCATCCAAAACCTGCATCGGACACCGCGCGCTCTCCTGCACCTCTAAAGCCGTGTAGGCCTCTGGGCCGCCCGGGCGCCCGCCCCGATCCAGCCATCGCGCTCCTTTCCACGCCCCGCATCCCTCCCCACAGCACACTCCGAGGTCCTCCAGCACCGACCAGAGACGACCCAGCCAGATGCAGCTCGGCGGGGTCAAAGCCGGCCGGCTCTGCAGTCAGACCTGCCATGGAGGTGAGGGGTGCCTCACCGAAGCCCAAAGGGACATGGGGGGAAGGCCAAGGCTCCCCCCCACCCCTCGGCCCGTGACACCGCACGACCGCTGCCTGTCGCCGCCACGCCACCGACCGCCCCGAGCCGCGCCACGCCCTTCACAGCCCCACGAACCCTCCGCCGCCCTTACTCATCACCTGCTGCGGCGAGCCCGGCACCACCTCTCCGGAGCACTGGCGCGAGAGGCGGCTCTTGACCCCGGAGCCGACGGCGATGAAGGCGGCGACGGCCTCGGGCGCGCCGTGCAGCCCGACTGTCTTGAAGAAGTTGCGAAAGTCGTCGCGCGAGATGCTCTCGTCTGTGCCCATCTTGCCGAGCAGCCTCGCGCACGCCTCGGCGTCCCAGTCGAGGCCGGACGCGCGCGCGAAGTGCAGGAGCTCGTCCATGTCGATGGCGCCCGAGTCGTCGAGGTCGATGGCATCGAAGGCAGCCTCGATGCGCGTCTCGCTGAACGGGTCAAGCAGCTGCCTCCGCCGCTCGCCGGCCTCCACGAGGCTCTCAACCTTTGCGTCCCGCTCGGGCGGCACCTCAGCCTCGTCGCACGCGAGGCTGATGAAGCGCACGAACTCTTCGTGCGACAGCGTGCTCAGGGCCGGCGTGCTTGCGTCCTGCCCTAGCAGCTCAAGCACCGCCGACGGCTCCCACGAGCCCCAGTAGTAGCCCAGCGCCTGGCCGAGCAGCAGGATCTCATCCACCTCGACTGCGTTCGAGTCGTCGAGGTCGGTAGCGCGGTACAGCTTCGACGCCCACGTGTCACTGAACGAGGCGCGGCTCGATGCGTCGGCCATTTCGGCAAAGCGAAAAGAATTCGAGTTGCACACACTAGGCACGGGACTGGCGCGCACTGGCACTAACACAGGTACACCGAAAAGAATTTTACGAAGCAACTCCCTCGCACGACACTGGGCACGGGACTGGCGCGCACTGGCACTAACACAGGTACACCGAAAAGAATACACCCCGGGAGGAACCCCTAGCGCCTAGGTAGCTTCCCTCCTCCCGCTCCCCCCCCCAACCCCCCCCCCACTCCCTCCCTCTTCTCTGCGCGTCGTCTGTGTGCGCGAGGGCGAGCGGCGCGCAGCACTATGTTATTTTCTTATCTACAGCTTCGTCGCGAGCGCCTTCACCTCTTTCGTGACCGGGGCGATCTCCCGCGCGACCGCCTTGTCAATCGAGTCCCCGAGGATGGCCAACTGCTCGCTGAGGAACTCGTTCTGCTCGCCGAGGACCTGCTCCACCTCCTCGGTGTAGGTGTGGGCGGCACGCGCAGCAGCAGCCGTGGACCCGGCAGTGGAGCTCGCGTCGTCGGAGTCGTCGTCCTCCCCCTTCCTTTGTGAGAGCGAGCCTACGGTATGAAGGAAGTAGCACGTGTTAGGATCGCGCAGAGTGCGGCCGGGGCGGTGTCACGGCGGGCGCACTTGCCAACGTCACTCCCCTCGACCAGCAGCGAGCCGTTGAGTATTTCGGAAGCGCGGCGGGCGGGGCGAGCGGCAGCCTGCCTCGCCCTTTTGGCCTGCCGCCGTGTGCGGTCGTCTCGCTTTCCCTTGTCGCGCTGCTCGGGGCTCTCTCGCTTCCTCTGCGCTCGGGACTGGTTTGCGGCCTGGCTGAGCTCGGTTGGACGATTGTTTGGCGAGCGGACGCGATCGTTGAAGAGCCTGCTCCTCGCCTGACCGAGCGTCTCCCTCGGGTTGTCCCTGGCTCGCTCCTCGGCGTCGGCCATGAGGGACACGCCACGCTCGGCAAAGTACTGGTCCTCCATGTATTGTGCCCACCCAGCCGTGTCGCCAGGAAAGGTGTCGAGGTACTCCTTCCTCGTGAGGATGTGGCGGCCGCGGACGACGGTGCGGCTGAAGGGGACGGTTGCCGTGCCGCCGACCGACGGCAGGCAACCGAGGAATACAGCAAAAAGGAGAAGCCCGCACGCCATCCCGCAGTTCGTACTAAGCTGCCCAAACCACCCAACAGACGGACCGCGGCGGAGTTGCGGCGGCGGAGACACAGCGAGAGGCTGGTTGGCGAGGCGTTCCTTCTCCAGCTGACGGCGACGCGACCGCACAGAGACCTTCCTCGTCGCGCCGTCCTGGCCGCGGGCCGTCATCTCCGCCCTGTCTGGTCCACGGTGGTGCGGCGATGTGCTGCGACGGGCTCCACGCGGCGGGCCAGAAAGTTGGGACGGAACTCGCTGCGGCCTTTATATATTGGAAGCTGATGCGGCTGGTCGCAGCGACGGCCGATCCAGCAGTCGTCTGCGACATGGCAGTGGCCCCGGGTCATGTGCAGCTGGTCCCGAGCGGCTCAGGTCCCAGATCGAATCTCGGACCCACAGATTCTAGATTCCTTTAGATTCCCTGGATTCCCGCAACAACGATCTCTTAGCGGCGGCAAACAGAGGCGCAACTCTGCCAGCAGCGAGGAGGCTCCTGCTGCTCAGCTACCGAGGCCTGGTGGCGTCGGCTGCTGCGTGGAGAAGACAGCAGCACTGTCCGACCTCAAAACATGCACAACAAGCGTGATTTGTGACTCTGTCCTCGATTCTTCAGTCGCTCTGCCGGACGCGCTCGCTTTGTCGCGAGGGTCACCAGTGCAAGCCGTGTGGACGCCCAGAATAGCCTCCCCTGGCTTAGCTAGAGTGAGAGATATTGTGCACGTGGTCAGCCTCTACAATATATACACTGACACTTTACCTCCCAGAGCTCGTCTCGGTCCGCCACGGCCATCCTCAGCCTCCGGAGGGCCCCCGGCCGCGGCGCGGTGCGGCGGCGTCACAAATCCGACGTCAGTTCACCGGGACGCGATCGGGCGATCTGAAGTCCAACTAGGCGTATGGATTGTCCGCCCAGGGCTATCACCTGGACCCCTCAATGGACGCCTGCGGTGCCGCCCCCACGAGGTGTTGTTCACACCTGTCCAACCATTCGTGCAGCAGGAACGCGCTGTGTGTGGCTGGCAGCAAACTCAAATGACGACGGGTTGCAGCCTCGTAGCTCAACGGCAACATTGTGCATGAGGAAGGCTGATAGAAGTATCACCAGCCACACAACCAACAGCTTCTGGAGAGTATGCGGAGCGCAAGCAGCCGGTGATCAAAGGCGTGTTGCTGTCGGTGGCAGATTGCCAGAGGGACGCCGGCGCCTCGGTGCGTGGCTTCGTCACAATTTTCCACCGCTCAACTTGGAGGCAGTGTGTCTAGTAGCGTGCTACACCTATGACGGCGGACCTCACTGGGGCGCCGACGTGCGACGACCGTCTGGGATCGAAAGACGAAACCGCGTCCCAGGAGCTCGTGCAGAGCGCGCTCCGGAGCTCGGTGGCGGGAAATTTGAAGGGAACGTGGTGGCTTCCCACCGCCTCTGTATGTGCCCAATAAAGTGCTAACACGACCCTCGGGCAGCAGGGGGTATGTGGCGAGCGCACGGAGGCACAGTTAGGCCGCCGTGATATCGCCCTTCCGGGCACCCCGTTTCGGTAGCCGTTTAGGGGTTAATGACTGCACTCCAAGTGCTCCAAGTGCATGGCCGCAAGTACGCCGAATTCCCATGAAAACAAGTAAAAAATGGCCAACCCCCCCCCCCCCCCAAATCGGCGCCTGCGGCGGGCCATGGGACCCCATCTCCCCCCCGCATGGACACCCTCTGGGGCCCCCGCGCCGGCCCAGCCGAGGGAGCCTCTGCATTCTGGTTCGTTGAGTTGTTGTTTTCCTGAGATTTCCTCGAGGCGCGCGAGGAGATATAAAGGTTAAAGCGGATAGGAAACCGCGCAAGAACACAGCGCACTCTCTCACACAGTACGAAGACTCAGGCTGACATGTGACAACGCGGTCCCTCACTTTTTCCGCCTACGCTCCTGCACGTCGGGGGCGAGCGCGTAGGGCCGCAGCTGGAGCCGCTCGCCCACCTCGGCGACGGCGTTGTCGAGCGTCCAGCCGGACGTGAAGAGGAGCACCGGCCTGCCGTACACGTCCTCGAGCGTCTTGACGTTGAGCAGCTTCCGCTCGGAGAGGACCGCGTCCACCTCCTCCCACCCCGCCATCGCCCACCGCGCCTGCGTCTGCGGCATCATCTCGTACTGCACCTCGACGCTGTACTCGGAGCTCAGCCGGGACGAGACCACCTCGAGCTGCAGCGGCCCCACCGCCGCCAGGATGGGCACGCCGCCGCCCGTGTCGCCGCGCTCGAGCAGCTGCGGCCGTAGGGCGGGCGCGGGGCGGGCGCGTGGCGGTGCGGGCCGACGAGGTGTCTCGGAGGTGTCTCGGAGGTGTCTCGGAGGTGTCTCGGAGGTGTCTCGGAGGTGGCGGAGAGGTCGGCCGCACCTGCTGCACCGCGCCCTCGTTGAGGAGCTGCTCGATGCCCTTGTTGAAGCTCTTGTACCTTGCGCACGCGGCCGCACGCCTCAAGAAAGAAGGGGGGGGGGGGGGGCTCGGGGAGGAGGTGCGGCTCGCGCTTCGAGGGCGTCGGGTTGATGCAGCGCGCAAAGATCTCGGGCGAGAAGGAGGGGATCTTCGCGAAGGAGATGCGGCGCGAGCCGGTGTAGAGCGTGTCGCCGATGGCCATCTGGCCGGGCGAGAAGGGTATGCCGACCACGTCGCCAGGGTAGGAGGTCCCGTCGAGCGTGGACCGCTCCGCGCCGAGCAGCGTCTGCGCCTGCGCGAGGGTGAGCTGCTGCCCGCGCAGGCGCGAGTGCTTCACCTTGAGGCCCTTCTCGAAGCGGCCCGAGCAGACGCGCACGTATGCGATCCGGTCGCGGTGCTTTGGGTCGGTGTTTGCCTGCAGCTTGAAGACGAAGCCGGAGAAGTCCTCGCTCGTCGGCTCGACGGTCTCCTCGTCGCCTGCGCCAGCAGCAAGGAGAGGCGTGGGGCGGCGCCTCGGCACAGCTGGACATGTGCCATGTCTCGGCCATGTCTCGGCCATGTCTCGGCCGTCTCTTGGCCATGTCTCAGCAATGGGTCACCGGTGAGCTCGCCAGAGGTGAAGCCTGCCTCGTCGCCCGCGTCGAGCGCGCGCGGCGTCGGCGGCGAGCCGAGCGACATGAGCGTGTCCAGCAGCAGCTGCACGCCTGAAGAGTTCGCGGCGATGCACTCTCGGGACCCGGCTCTCGCATCCCAGAAGCCCACCACCGCCCCTCCAGCTGCGCTGCGCGCCAAAGTTTGTCATGGCGGACCCAAACAGCACCGGAGTCTGCTCGCCTCGCTTCAGCCGGTCCAGGTCGAGCGGATCGGTCAGGCCGTCCAGCATCTCGACGTCGTCGATCAGCTGCGCGTACAGCTCGCCGTCGCCGATCAGCGCCTCGAGGCGGTCGTCGTCGAGCGACACGACGGCGGCCTCCTCCGCCTTCTTGCCTCGCTCGCCGCGCGCGAAGAGGTGCACCCTCCTCGCGCCGCGCTCGAGCACGCCGCGGAACCGGTCTCCCGAGCCGACCGGCCAGAGCAGCGGGCAGCACGAAATGCCAAACTCGGCCTCGATCTGGTCGATGAGCTCGTATGGCGAGAGGCTCGGCCTGCGGCGCGTCGGGAGAGGCTCGGGAGGCGTGGCAAGCGGCTCGGAGGGGCCGCTCTCTCGTCACCGGTCCAGCTTGTTGACAAACGTGAAGAGCGGAAGCCGGCGCAGCCGCGCAACCTAACCGGTGAGATCACCCGAGATCACCCGAGATGCAGCGCCGCGAGGTGCAGCGCCGACCGCGCGTGACCTCGAACAGCTTGCGCGTCTGGGGCTCGAGCCCCTTGGCGGCGTCGACCAGCATCACGGCATTGTCCGCCTGCGGAGGGGTCCAGGTGAGTGCGTCGCCGCCTCTTTGCAGCTGGGCGGCGCGGCGCAGGCAGCACCGCAGCGAGCGTGCGGTACGTGTCCTCTGAAAAGTCCTGGTGGCCCGGCGTGTCGAGCACGTTGACCTGCTTGCCGTCGTACTCGTACGAGAGCACCGTGCTCGAGATGGAGATGCCTCGCTGCTGCTCCAGCTCCATGAAGTCAGAGGTGGCCCTCCGCTGCTCGCCCTTGGCCTTGACAGCACCGGCCTGCGAGATTGCGCCACCGTACAGCAGGAGCTTTTCCGTCAGCGTGGTCTTGCCCGCGTCGGGATGGCTGATGATTGCAAGATTGCGACGCCGCTCGACCTCATCCGCGAGAGCGACGTCCATCGCGACACGACGAATGTGCCGGGCGGTGGCTGAACCTGGAGCAGCGGCCGTGGCTGACGGAGCAGCGGCCGCAGCCCAACCGTGGGTTGCGATCGTCGAGAGCCACATGGACACGGAGAGCGTCACCAGCGAGAGGGCGAGCGAAGAGCACCGTCGAGAAAACGGGCACGATTCAGACGAAAGTGTGAACAGGTTGGAGCAGCAGCTCCTGAGCACGGCGCCGCAGGCGCCTGTTGATAGGTACAGGTGATAGCCCTGGATGGGCAATGCATACGCCTCACTGGGCCTCAGATCGTCCGACCGCGTCCCGGTGCTCTGCCGTCGGATTTGTGACTCCGCCGCACCGCGCCGCGGCCGGGGGCCCTCCGGAGGCCGAGGATGGCCGTGACGGACCGGGACGAGCTCTGGGAGGTTCAGTGTCAGTATATATATTCTAGAGACCAACCATGTCCACAATATCTCTCAGTCTAGCTAAGCTCTGGGAAGGCGATGCCGGGGCCGTACAACAGCTTGATGGTGCTGGTTGGGTAGTAGTCTAAGTTCTGAGCCTCGAGGCTGAGCGGGTCTAAGTGTGACTAGTCACGCTGGGGTGCTTACGCGGTCTAAGATCAGCGAGAGCCTCTTACATCGGCTAAGTCGGCCGTGGCACAGCCTGGGTGCCGCACATCCTCCTCTACATCGTGCCGCGGCAGATGGTCGAGCTCGGCGACCCCGCCCGGCGCTCGTGTGACGCCTGCGAGTCCTTCGGCGCCATGGTCAAGACCATCATCAAGACCGCGACCTGCCGCCGCCGCATCTCGACCGAGACGCAGCACACGACGGGCATCAACGCGAACCGGCGGCGCTGGCGGCAGTCCTTCACCAAGGGCTACATCGAGCAGGCGTTCAATCGGGTCAGCGCGCGCGAGCTCCTGCGCAGCGACACGAGCGACGCCAACGTGGCCTATCTGCAGCGGCAGGACTACAGGCGGCTGAGTACGGGGGTCGAGACCATCGCGTCGCACCGCCAGAGGGGCGTCGCGGCTACCCCCTCAGGGTCCATCCACGCCGCCCTCGGCGCCGCGAGGGGTGCGGGCAGCATGGAGGCGGGCGTCTCGGGCAAGGAGGCGGGCGCGGCTGCGCGGGAGGCGGTGCAGAAGCGGCGGAGGGGCCCGGAGGACGCGTAGTGAGCGCGGACTGAGGCGCGGCCGGCCGTCTGCCAGACGGCCGGCCGGGCGCCGTATGGGCCTCGGGGTGCCCGAGGACTTTAGAGGTGCGGATTTTTTTGCTTGTGTCTATCGGTTCATGTCATGGACCGGCCCTGGGGAGCCTTTTACCGCGCCAGGAGGATGATACGGGTCCGTAATAATTTACTGGGTTGGAAATCGGCTGGTTTGCCCAGTGTGGGTGCGCGAGTGAAGGAGTGTGTGATGTGTGTGTGGTGTGTGTGCTTGTTAGAGGCAACTGTACTGAGATACTTTAAACATGGGATTTGCGTGACGGTCAAGACCAAGCCAGGGGGACAGGCACAGCGGCGCCACGCCGCTGGCGCTCTGTGCTCGTTCGTGGGCCTTCGTGCGTGCCGCCTCGACCCTCGTTTCCCCCCTCCAACGTTTTCGTTTTTCCACGGCCGCAAAATGCAATATCCAATAAACCAATATCCAATAAAAGTGCACACGTTTCAACATTGCCACGCGGTGCTGCGCACGCCACCCTCCGGCTGCGTCTCGTACGGGGGTCGGAACGGCTGCGCCGCGGCGTGGACCGCCTCTCTCTTTTTCGCGAGCCTGCCGGCCTCCAGCGCGGCCGCCTCCGCCTGAAAACGCCGGAGCTCCTCCACGCGCGCGGCGCGCTCCCCCTCTGCCCGCGCGCCAGCCCCCGCGGCGCCGGGATGGTCGGGATCCGGGCGGTCGGGATGCGGACCTGGTCGGCCGGCCGCCGGCGAGGCGTGCGGCGCGTCGGTGGTCCGCTCCACCAGCCGCGCGCAAGCCTCGTCGCTGAGGCGCGGCGGCGAGGAGCCCGCGCTCCACTCGTGGAGGCAGCGCGCCGAGGCCGCGTGCCGGACCAGAGCCGCGAGGGCGGTGCGCCCTTTGCTCCCCGACGCGAGCGTCTCGACGTCGGCGAGGATGAGCAGCTGGTGTCGCGCGCGCGTGAGGCCGACGTTGAGCCGCCGCTCGTCGGCGAGGAAGCCGACCACACCGCGGCACCGCACGCACGAGAGGAGCACGACGTCGGCCTCGGAGCCCTGCGCGCCATCGACGGTCGCGATGAAGACGCCCCGCAGGCCGCGCGCGTCGGCGGCGGCGCGAATGGCCGCAACCTGCGCCGCATAGAAGGTGAGCACCTGCGGAGGGGACGGGGGGCGAGCTGGACGGCGTGCGGGCGCGAGAGTCGCGAGAGAGCCTGCTGGGCGGGGCGCGAGGGGAGGGAAGGGCGAGGGAAGCGCGAGAAAGGGCGAGGGGCGTCATGGCGTGTAGCGGCGGCGCCTTGACGCGCGATGCGCTCCGCACGTCGACGCCTCGCCCGCGCAGCTCGAGCAGCAGATCGCAGATCGCCGCAGCCTCGGCCATGTTGCGCACCGAGCCGTCTCTCACCGCCTCCTCCCTCGCGCCGCGCACGTGCAGGAGCGCGAGCGGGCCGAGCGAAGCGAGAGATCCGAGCCGCAGCGGCGCCTCGCTTCGCGAGAAGGTGGAGGGGTCGTCTTTCAAGCGGCCGCCGTAAAAGTGGGCGGCGGGGAAGGCCGAGATGGCGGGGTGCATCCGGTACTGCGTGTCGAGCAGCGCGTGCGGCTGGCCGAGCCCGATCATCAGCCGGTCCATCATCGTCCTGTCCGCAAACCCGGAGGAGGGTCCCGCGTGAGCCAAGCCTCGGAGGAGCGCAGACGCAGGACGCAGGGGCACGGGGCCCCTCTCCCGCGCGAGTGCCACGCGCACCGGGCGAGGTTAGGGTTAGGGTTAGGGTTAGGGTTGGGGTTAGGGTTAGGGTTAGGGTTGGGGTTGGGTTAGGGTTAGGGTTAGGGTTGGCTCACCGGGCGAGCGGCGGCGTGCGCGCGAGCGGAGAGAGCTGGCGAGGGTCGCCGCACACGACGGCCCGCTCCGGCAGCAGTCCGAACGGGATGAGAGCCTCCGGCTCGGACGCCTGCGCCGCCTCGTCAACCACCTATGCGGGGCCGGGGGCCGGCGGGGTGTGCGGCGCCGGCCGAGGGTGCGGGCTGCACACGCCACCGCCGCCGAGCACCAGCCACGCGACCTGCCCGAGCGCGCGGACGAGGCGGCTGCCCGCGACGCAGCACGTGCAAAACACGAAGCGGGCCGAGAGCAGCAGCTCCTGCGCCACGCCGCCCTCGGCGCCCGCCTCGCGCACCGCCGCCGCCGCCGCGCGCAGAGCCTCCCTCGCGGGGCCGAGGTCGAGGCTGCGCCGCGTGCAAGGCCACGCCGGAGCACCGCCCTCGCCGCACCCGCCCTCGCCGCACCCGCGCTTGCCTCCGCAGTCGAGCGGCTCGAGCGGCTCGAGCGAGCGCTGGAGCAGGGCGAGCGCCTTGGCGAGGAGCGCGCCGATCGGCTGCTGCAGGCCAGAGTGGTACGTGATGGGCAGCCGCGCGCGCAGGGCCGCCGCCACAGCCGCCGTCCGCTGCTGCACGAGCCGAAGCGCGCCCGCCCACCGGCGTGCAGCTCGCTGGCAGCCCGCCGTGTGCCCGATCCGGACGAGGCAGCGCGTGTCGCTCGGCGAGCACCACGCATGCCCGGCCCCCTCCCCCTCGCCCTCGTCCTCCTCCTCCTCGAGCCCGCCCCTCCTCGCGTCGCCGCCACCGCCGCACAGCGCCGCCACCGCAGCCTCGCAAGCCTCGAGCTCCTCGGCGGCGACGTCGAGCGCCTCGTGCACGAAGGCCGCGCGCCCCGCCTCTGAGCCAGTCAGCTTGTCGCCGTCTCCGACAAGAGCAACCTCGGCCGCCGCCCGCCGCGGGCCAGCCTGCTCGCAGAAGCGGAGGAGCAGCTCGAGCACGGCCTTGTTGGACGGGGCGCAGACCAACACGCGCGACCCCCCTCCGGCCCACTCGGCGCAGGCGCGCGGCGCGAGCCGCGCCTGCAGGACGAGCGCAGGGAGAGCGGCGGGTGAGGCTGCGCTGGCGGTGGAGCAGCGGGTCGAGCAGGGCCAGGGGGTCGTGGGTAGCGGCAGGGCTGGTGCTGCCCGCGCCTGCAGCTGGAGGAGGAGGTGGAGGAGGGTTCGGGTCTTGCCGGTGCCCGGCGGCCCCTGCAGCAGCGTGAGCCCTCCGCGTTGCGAGAGCACCTCGCTCAGCGCCGCCATCTGCGACGCGTTGAGCGGAGGCATGTCTGGGACAGGTCCGGCACTTGCCTCCGACGCGTCGAGCAGAGCCGTGGCGGGCGGAGAGGCGGCTCGTGGCGGTGGCGGGCCTGCTGCCGCCTCCTCTGCTGCCGCCTCCTCCTCTGCTGCCGCCTCCTCCTCCTCCCCGGAGGAGCTCTCCGGCGCGTCAGCCGAAGAGGCGTCGCTCTCCTCGCCCTCGCAGCCCTCGTCTCCCGACCCGCCGCCCTCGCCATCCGAGCCGGCGGCGCCGCGGCCTGGAGAGCTCCTCCGCCTCGCCGTCCTCCGCGCCTCCTCCTCCTCCGCCTCCTCCTCGCCGTCCGAGGAGTCGAACCGGATGTGCGTGCTCGCCCTCTGCCCGAGCAGCCGAGGAAGGATGCCCGGCACGGCCGGCCGCCTCTGGCACACGTCGACGCACCGCTGAGCGACGAGCACCGTCGCGAGGTAGCGCGCCTCCCACACCGGCGCCTCGCCCGCCCCGCACGCCTCGAGCGCCGCAGAGAGCACCTCAAACACGGGCTGCTTCGGCGTGGAGGCGCGGCCATCCACGAAAGCCAGCAGGCCGCTGCACGAGGCCGAGCCGTACCTGCCGCCGACGCGCGGCTGCAGCAGAAAGGCGGCGCCCGGCCGCAGCTGGTCCTTGCCGCCGCTCGCAGGCGCCGCCTCGGCGCAAAATTCCAGCGACGCAAGCCTGCGGCCTCCCGGCCGTTGCGACTGCTGCAGGCGGAGCAGCCGCGGCGGCTGGCGGCGCTTTTCCGCCGCCGTCAGGGCCTCGGCCACCTCGGCGCGCGCCTCCTCGAGCATGATGCGCTGCATGTATGCAAAGTACTGCTTTGCCGAGTCGAAGCGGAGCGGCCCGTGGCCGGCTCCGCCGCTCGAGGCGGCCGAGCCGGACTGCGGGAGGAGGCGGCCGTTGAAGTGCGCATCGCAGAGGTGCGTGCTGACGATCTCGGGGCCGGTGAGGGAGCGAGGGCGCTTCTTGCCCATACCGGGTAGCGGCCGGCCAGCCAGCGACGCGCCGGGGGGCGTTCACTGTGCTGCATGAAAAGCAGGTGTGAAGGTATTTTCTTCTCAATAACAAGGCTGTGACAACACCTCGTGCCACGGCGCCGCAGACGCCTGTTGATGGGTCCAGGTGATAGCCCTGGATGGGCAATGCATACGCCTAGTTGGACCTCAGATCGCCCGACCGCGTCCCGGTGCTCTGTCTGCGGTCGGATTTGTGACGCCGCCCGACGCCGCCCGCACCGCGCCGCGGCCGGGCGGGGGCCCTCCGGAGGACGAGGATGGCCGTGATGGACCGGGACGAGCTCTGGGAGGTGGAGTGTCAGTGAGTATATTGTAGAGACAGACCGTATGCACAATATCTCTCAGTCTATAGCTAAGCTCTGGGAAGGCGATGCCGGGGCCGTACATACAACAGCTTGATGGTGCTTCGCCGGCGTGCGTCCCGGAGCGGTCCCGGACGGGGGCCGCCCAGGGGAGGAAAATGGAGGACAACGCCGACACCGCTCTGATTCGACTTTTTACTTCAAACAAAGACAGTCGCACGCGCCGCGGCGCGGTGCATGCCACTGTCAGGAGCGGATCCGCCAGTTAGTCGTGTTCACGCCGGGATCGTGTCCTCCACAACCTGCCCAACCATTCAGGGCGACGAGTAGAAGGCAACTGGCGATCAGAAAAATAATGCAGCCCCGCGCCGCAAGCGGCGTGGCGTGGAGCGGTTGAGCATCCCTCCGGGGGCCCCTCTGCGCCGGGGAGGCGTTGTTGGAGGCTAGGACGCAAGCGTCCGTCGCCCTTTTCAAACTCGGGGCCCACTCCGCTACGCACCTACGCTCCGACCCGAATTTGGAGGGCCGAGAAGTTTAAGGTGTTGCTGCGCAAAAGGGTCGGACACAGGGCGCAGCTCATGCTAAGAGCTAGAAGGGGAGATAGAGAGAACAATCACCCTGTCCCGTTATTGCGTACACCAACACCACAAAAACCTCTCCCGGCTCCTCAGTTCTCACTCAGGGGGGTCACAACCAACCTGAGGGAGGATGTAGAGGATGTAGAGTGTAGAGCGCTGTAGAGCTGTAGAGGAGATATAGAGCGCTCTGGAGCGCTGTAGAGCTGTAGAGCTCTACATCCGCCGCGTGACGAACTGCCTCCGTTGTAGAGCGATGTAGAGGCGCTGACCCCCCCCAATGAACACACCAGTGAGGGAGGGCGAGACGATCGAGGGGTCCCGTACCATGCGGAATCGACCCTATCAAGTGCTCAAGGCGCTCTACACCGTGAAATCTTGGAGCACTTGGAGTGCAGTCAGTAACCTCACATCCAGGGCCGGGGAGCTAAGAAGCGCACCCAGCGGGCCGGATGATCGGTATCGGGCTACGAAATCTCTACAACAAACTCTACATCATAAGCGGCGAACGAGGCACGGTCGCTCTCCGACATGAGGCGCGTTGCATTTGCCAGTGCTGCCCTGGCCTTCTGTCTGCCCGCCCAATGGGTGGCAGGTGCCTCTGCTGCTATGGCATGCCTCACGGCTGCGACTGGCCGGCGCCTCGGCGCGTCAGCTCGGCTCGGCGTAGCGATAGTGGCCAGCGCAACTCGCCTGGACTCAACGCTCAGCCAGGAGCTCCCGCACGCGCTGGCGCGAGTCATGGCGCATGCAACGCGTCTGAATGCTCGCCTCGCCTCGCGCAAATGCGACCGTCCTCGCAGCCGACAGTCCACACCGCCTGCTAAAGAAGCACCGCGACGAATGCGGCACCGGCGACGCATGGCTAGCTGGTCGTCATGACGCAGTCATAAGGTGTTTTGTACCGTCAGAGTGACTCTCTGTGTGTCAGGGATAGTCAGGGCCGTCCATCAGAGCTCCAGTAAGCTCGGAGACACCCCATTAGCGCGGCTAGACCTCTTTGAGTCACTGCCTTCCCGGCGGTTTGGCTGTAGACTGGCTGTAGAGCCTCTACAACCAACTCTACAGCAAAATCGCGCTCTACATCGCTCTACAGGCGACTCACATCGTCCCGCGCCGGATGTAGAGCTCTACAGCTCTACAGCGCTCCATGATCAGTGGAAAGTGGAGAGGGTGGTATGGGATAGTAGAGCAGGCGCTTTGTGGGTGGCAGGTATGGGCGGCGGCGTTGGGTTGCCGGCCGAATCGTTAGCGGAGCTCCTCCCTCAAGCTCGATCACGCATGACGCACGTTGAGTGACAAAGTCGGCGAGCTTTTGAATCAGGTTAGGTTGCCGGAGCACCTCCAACTCCTCCTCTGAATCAGACACGACAACGTCGACTGCGGCCTCCTCCTCCCATTCGTCGACTGCGCCCTCCTCCTCCTCTCCTCCAAGTCGCCGACTGCGCCCTCCTCCTCCATGGGCTCGATCTGATTCCGCAGCGGGTCGTCCCCCGCGGCGGTGCTGCGCGGGAGGCGGCCGCGGGCACGCTGGGCTCGATCAGCGGCTTTCCCTCAAGTTGCGCAGAAAACACGGATTTGGCGGACGTTCTTGGCTTCAATTTTACGGAATTTTACGGAAGTCTTGGCACCAGCTGAAGGCTTGCCCCCGTCGAGATCACATGGTTTCGCCACGGTATCCTTTTTTGCTATTTGTTTGTGTGGGGGTATGGCCGATTTGTCAATGGTACCGCGTCTGCGACGCGGGCGCCTTGCGGGCAGAGCCCTTAGCCACCCTTTACATCTTGCGCGGTCATAAAGGGCGCGGGCCCTGGGCGTGCGTTTGCTGACCGCACTCCAAGTGCTCCAAGTGCGCGCTGGCACGGACACAGATACACCACGCCAGCCGCCGCCTATGTGCTATAAGCGACTGCGAGGGCGGCGAGGCACTTTGCTCCCGAGTCCCGTGCACTCGACCGCCCGCCCTCGCCCCGCAGGCAAGCTCGATATTGTCGTGTTAGCCGTGAGCTGTGAAGGTCGGCCTGTAGCGATACCAGCTGAGTAGGAGCGCCGACGTCCTTCCTCCGGCTGGCGTAGCGATGCTCGCCGCCGGAGGACGGTTGAGGCGGTCGCGGCGCTCCAACGGCACTTGGAGCAAGTGCAAGTGCAGTGCAGTCGGTAACCTCACATCCAGGGCCGAGGCGGCGAAAATTCTTTTCTTTTTCGGACCGGTGCACGGCGGCTTGAGAATCGCACACTGGATAAAATGGCCGAGACGCTAGACTCGAGCGAGGCGGCCCGGGCGAGCGACGCCAGCGAGACCAGCAGCGAGGCGAGCAGCCAACTTAGCGAGGCCACGCTCAGCAACGCCGCGAGTCGCGTGGCGCCACCGGCTGCGGCGCCATCGCCCGAGGCCTTCCTGTTCCGCTCGCGGGAGGAGCAGATCAAGATCATGGCGGCGGCGGAGGCGCGCATGCAGGTGCACGCCGAGCTCGCGCGCGAGCGGGCAAACGCCGCCGAGGAGCAGAGACGCGCAGTGCGCGACGCTCAGGCGCAGGCGCAGGCGCAGGCGCTCGAGCGGCAGGCGGCGGCGGTGGCGGCGGCAGAGAAGCAGTTTGGCGCCGCGCTTTTCAAGGAGCGCGCCGAGAGGGCGGCGCTGGAGGAGCGGGCGTGCGCGGCGGAGTCAGAGCTGGCGGGACTGCGCAACAAGTTTCCCCTCGTGAGGGACGGCGCTCTCAAAAGCGAAAACAAGCGCGAGCTGATGGAGGCGGTAGGCCTTAACTTTGGGTTTGGGCCCGGCTGCGGAGGAGGCAGCGACGAGGCGGCTCAGGGGGGCGGCGGCGGCGGAGGGGAGGGCGGCGGCCTCCTGGTCTCCATCGTCGACCGCCGGACCGTCGACGAGGCAGCCGAGCGCCTCCTCGTCGCCGTGGCGGCAGTGGCGAAGCGCGAGGCGAGCGCCAGATCTCCCGAGATCTCCGAGGTCTCCCGAGGTCACGGCACCCGAGGTCACCCGCGGCTGCCGTCCACATCAGGCGGTCGAGCGCGAGCGGGCCGCCATCGAGCGCGCCGCGCACGTCGCCGGCAGGCGCACGCCACACCTCGGCCACACCTCGGCCACACCTCGGCCCGTTCGCACATCTCGGCCGGCCTCGCAGCCACACCTCGGCATCACACCTCGGCCGCACCTCGGCCGCACCTCGGCCGCACCCTCGGCCTCACACCTCGGCGTGTCCTTGCGGCAGGCGGGCGGCGCGAGGCCGCGTTGCCGCCGCGGCGGCGCTGGCGGCGGCGACGGCTGCTGCGCGGCGGGCTGCGAGGGCGCCGAGCATCACGGAGCCCGGCGGGCCGGCGGGTGGGGTGGAGGTGCCGGACACGGCGTTGGACGGCCGGTCGCGGGAAATGTGCCGGGACATGTCGTGGGAGGAGCGTGCGGCGGCTGCTGACGCGCTGCTCGACGCGGAGGAGGCGGCGCGCGCCCTGGCGGCGGACGCGATGCTCGACGCGGACTCGGAGGTCGGCCTCTCCCCCGACGCCGAGTCGGTCTTCGGCCTGCCCCCCGCCTCGGACGTGATGACCGTCCACCTCCCCGCCCGCCACGCCCCCCCCCGCCCCGCACCCGCCGCCTCTCGCGCGCCGCCCGCCAAAGACAACTCCAAAGACGACTCCGAGGTGTCGCTCGCGATGCTCTCAGGGAGGATCGCACAGATCCTCGGCCAGCAGTCCCCCTCGACCGCCCCGCCGCCCCTCGGCCACCGCCCCTCGGCCACCGTGCTGCCAAGCCCGCCGCTGGACCGGCGTCCGGCGACCGCAAACCACGCCGCAAAGAGCGCTCTGGAGGAGGCGGAGGCGGAGGCGGAGGCGGAGGCGGAGGCGGAGGCAGCGGAAGCGGCGCCACCTCCAGACTTGGGCGAGGCCGCCTCCTGGCTCGCTGCCGTCAGCTCGGGGGCCGAGGCGGGGGCCGCCTGCCCTCCGGAGGGAGATCAGGCGCCGAGGTTGATCCGAGATTGCAATCTCGCGTAGGCGGGAGAGCCGCCCGCCGGGTGGGGTGGGCTGGCGGTGTTTCGGCAGGTGGCGAGGCGGCTGTGGCGGCGAGACTACGGCGAGGGGGAGGGAGAGGAGGGCGAGGAGGGCGAGGAGGGCAAGGGCGAGGGCGAGGGCGGGTTGGCTGCTTCGCTCGAGCTGGAGGCGCTGCTGCTCGCGGCGGAGCAGGCGGAGCTGGGGAGGATGGTCGAGGCGGGGGGGGAGGAGGCGCGCGAGCAGAGGAGGCGGGCGGCGGAGCGGCTGAGAGCGGCAGTGATGCGATGCCATGGCGATATAGGCGGCGGGCGGCGGCGGGCCATCGCCCGGCGGCGGAGTGGGGGGGAGGCGTCACGACGGTGAGCTGTCCGCTGCTCCTCAGCCTGCCCTCCCCCTTCCGGCCGCGTCGCCTCGCGAGCCGCCGCCGGGAGGGGAGAGGCCCAGGGCTGGGGCGGCGCGGCACGGGCTTCCCGAGCAGGAGGGGAGATGAAGCCGAGACGTAGCCGAGACGCAGCCGAGATGCAGCCGAGGCGTGTAGCCGAGTTGCAGCAGGGGGGAGGGGAGGCGGGGGCCTGGTTCCTGCCCCCCCGAGCCGACCGAGAGGCCTCTCGCCGACAGGAGCGGGCGAAGAACACAAAGTCGCGCGCCCGCGGAGAGGGTGGCGCGGGGAGCGGCGGCCGCGGCGGCGGCGACAAGCGGTGCGGTGCGGCGCTGCCGCATGGCGATGGCTCGAGGGGCACGACGCAGCAGCTGCTGCCGCGCGAGTACGAGGTCGAGCTGACCGTGCGGTGCGGCACGTGCACTGTCTCGCCGCCCGCCCGCCCGCGCGTCCTCTGCTCTCCCCCTCACCTCTCGCCCGCCCGTGCCCCGCCGCCGGAGCGTGCAGAGGGACGTTACCCCCCCCCCCCCCCCTCCCTCAGGCGTGACCGCGCCGGCAAGCTCGGAGTGGCGATCGCGCACGCGGAGCGGTCGCAGCCTCCCCGGGTGGACAAGGCGAGGGGCACTGCCTCTCGGGCCGTCTCGGATCACGATGCATCTCGGCTAGATCTCGGACCATCTCGGGCCGTCTCGGGCCGCGTCTCGGACCATCTCGGGGGCCATTCGGGGCTAAGCGCCTGTGGGTGCATATGGACAAGGTGAGCGAGGCGGGCGCAGCTCACGCGTGCGGCTTGCGCGCGGGCGACGAGAAGAGCGTCGGTGTCGGTGCGGTGGCGTGGGCCGCGCCTCTTCACGGAGGCACCGCGTGCGAGTAGGCGACGAGATCGTCGGCATCGACGGGCGGCGGCTCGGCGCATCCGAGTACCGGAGGGCGGCGGAGCTGCTCCCGCCGGGCCCCGCCCCGTTCTTGCTCCTCGTCCGGCGACGCTACGAGGCGACCCCGGGCGACTCGCGAGAGGCGGCCGCACCGCCGCCGCACCCCTTGCACCAGGAGCTCGACTGAGCGGCATTCTGGCAAGAAACCACGCCGCAGCGTTTGGACGGCAGATTTTGTGGAAGCGGCGCCACGAGCTCAACGGGAGGGCGGGCGCGCAGCGAGCTCGTGGCGCCGCGCAGCGAGGGCAAACGTGCGCTCGATGAGAATAAGCCGGCCACATGCCGCTGTGATTTGTCGGGAGCGACGGGAATAGAGCTCTATAGGGTGTGACACGAGTGAGGCAGGGAGCGGAGTGCGGGGAGAGAGCGCAAAACGGGTGCGAGGTAGGTTGAAGGTTGTACAACACGGGGGAACGGGAAGGACCGTGAGTTGACGGAAATCGGAGGACGCGACCCACTTCGCCACAGACGGTCCCGCGCCTCGCCGCTATGACGGGGACACACCCCGCACCGTCCGCTGTGTCCCCCGTCTTTGTCCGGAGTGAAAAGTCCAACGCGCTCGTCGGTGACGGTGTCCTCCAACCTGCGCCACGGCCACGCTCGGCCGTCGGCGAACCTCGACAGCGCCTTCGGTGGCATGCAGCTCTTTGCGCCTGAAGCCTGGAGTGAAGCTCCTCTGCTGCTCACACACTCTGCACAGATGGCACAGCCCACTGTGCGGCTGCCACAGCTGTCACAGCGATGGGCTCGCCCTCACTGGCCCTCAGTCACTTGTGCTGCGGCTTGTGTGAGCGACACTGCGCGGCGACTGCCGGCACACTGTGAGACCAATGGGTGTGAGGTAAAACCACGCTACCAGCGCTTGGTCACATCGGCCCTGAGGTCAGATTCTTCTACTCTGTTGATGGTAACACTTGTCTACTCGCTGGAGCCGAGCAGGAGGGCTTGGCGCACAACCCCTGTGCAACTGAGTGGCCAAGCCGTAGAGCGCATCTCCGGGGCTGCGGCTCTATCAAGACGATAGCACGACCGCCCCCCCTCGTGCGGCATGCGCGCGGCGCGCGCAAAGGGCAGAGCTCATCTCAAAAGCTCAATACGAACACACCGCTCTTATACTCGTTTATTCACGAGGCGACCCCAGGGAACCGTGGGCTTCGCGAGGGCCTTCTAGGCCCGCGGGCAGTCTCCCCCCATCCCCAGGGCCTCCAGGGCTCGCACCTCAACCTCTCACAGACCAGCGCATAGCGCCATCCGACGTATTTTCTTCTCATAACACGAAGGCTGTGAACAAACAGCGAAGAAGACGCCTGCGAGCCGTCTTTTACCAGGTTGCAACCCTAGTTTCGCACTGTGCTGTGAACGCTGCTGGTTGGCGTCGGTTGCGCAGCACCCCGTCCCCATCCAGGTTGTTGGTTGCTGCCCCAGGTCCCGCACCATGTAGGTGCAATGCCCCGTTCTCTGGAACTGGATCATGCTGCGGGCGGCGTTGACGTTCACAGCCAATTCACGTATTTGGCCCCAGCTCTTCGGCTCGCTCCGCTCGCCGGTGAGTTGGTTGGTTGCTGGCAGCACCCCAGCACCTGGGGGTCCTGAGCTGTTGGTTGCCGCTCGATTCACAGCACAGTGCAAAACTGGGTTGCAACCTCGTAAAAAGACGGCGGGCTCTTGATACTAGTACGAACAACTCGACACACATACGGTGTCGTTGGGCTCAATTGAACTCTTTAGCCGCAGCCCTCGATTGTCGGCTGCGTTGCCACTTTCGTGCTAAAGCCGGCCAATCATCCATGGACCTCCAGTCGCTGATAAGCCAGCGGTGCGACGATGCTGCCGTGCTCGCGCGGATCGTATCGCACGGCCGCGAGGTACGGACCTACGACGAAGACATCGACCTGCCGCTCCACAAGGCGATGCTGTGCCGCTCATCCGACGTCGTCATTCTCGCTCTGCTCGAGAGCTTCCCGGATGCCGCGTCCCAGCGCGACTCGGGCGATCGCCTGCCGCTGCAGCGCGCTGCCATGACCGGCCGATCTTGCGCCCTCGTCGAGGACATACTCCGCCGCTTCCCGCAGGCGGCAGACGTGCCATGCCACGATCGCGAGTATACGGCGTGCCACTATGCCGCCGAGTATGGCGCGACCGATGTTTTGGAGATGCTGCTGCGCGCGTCGCCAACAGCAGCAGATATGGTCGACGAGCGCGACATGCCATCCTCGCCAGGCGGTCGCACACCCCTCCATCTCGTGGCGGCTCAGCATGCGCGCCACGGCGGCGCGGCGGAGTCGGCGGTGGCGAGTCTGCTGCGCGCCTGCCCGGCGGCGGCGCGGGTGCGGGACGGGGCGGGCGATCTCGCGCTTGACCTCGCGGTCGAGGCTGCGGCGCCCGACGGGCTGGTCGCCCTCCTCCTCGCCGCGGACATGCCGATCCACCGCGGCAGCGGCGAGCGCGACGCGGAGAGCGAGCACTCCTGGGCAGCCTCTGGCGCGGACCCGCGCTGCGCGGCTTCGCGCCGCCTGGTCCTTCGGCCAGCGGGCGAGGGCGGGTGCGGCTTCGACGCGCACGCCGCGCTGCTGACGAGCGGCGACTTTTGCGCGCGCCTGGAGGTGCCAGGACACTCCCGACACACTTGTGAGACACCTCCGGACACACTTCCGAGCACTACCGCACCTCGACAGAGTGTCATCGAGTCTACCACAAAGTACCCGCCCTCCGATAGCAATCATGCCACGCGTCTTCCCCCTCTCGCTTCCAGGCGGAGCGGTGCGACGCGGCGATGGCGCATCGGAGCGAGGCGATGGCGCGGGAGGCCGCCGCCGAGGCACAGCGCCGCCGCGTGCTGGTCCGCGCCACCCTGCTGGCCGCGACCTTCGGCGTTTGCGCAGCGTGCAGCGCCGCTTGGGGGGGCGCCGAGCCCGAGGAATAGAGCGACGTGTGAGCGCTGACGTTGATCGTTGTCAGCGCCCAGCTGTATCTTTGCACTTTGGCGTTTGAGTGTATTAGTTTTTAGTATTGCCAATAGGCAATAGCTCCTATTGCCCTCCTCAACCACTGCTAGCAACGAGACTCACCCTCACCGCGCTCCGCGGGGGGCACATTCCACCACGCGCTGGCAGTTCGGCCCCTCCCCCGGCATTGGAACGGGGGGATGCTGTGGACACGACACCTCACTGCGCGTGCGCAGCTCACAGGACTCTCACCCTCCCCACGTCAAACACGATCGTCCCTCTCTCCTGTGCTGCTGCCTCCCGCGCTCCGCTCCCGCGCTCCGCCGCTTCTGCCGCCGCGACCGCCGCAGCAACCCGCGACGCGACGCGCGAGCGAGCAGCGACGCGGCGCGCCTCGGCCAAGTCCAGGTCTTCTGGCGCCGCCCGCTGTGGCCGCTGAAGCGCGTCGACGGCGGCGGCCAGGGCATGGAGCGCGGCGAGGGCGGCGAGGGACAGGGGCAGCGGTGTGGGGACGTGCCGGGCCTCCTCCGGCTCCGCCGCGAGGCGCCTCCGAGCCTCCTCCTCCGAGACACCTCCGAGGGCGTCGGTGCACTCGGCGCAGCCCCAGACTCGCGCCAGCAACGTGCGCGGCGGCTCGAGAGCGCGGCGGAGTGACGCCCACTGCGGAGCAGCGGCCGCGTCTTCGGCGCAGCTGCGTGACGCGGCCGCGAAGCGAGAGAGCGAGCTGAGGTCGAGAAGCCGCAGGCAGCGCGCCTGCAGCGCCGGAGGCATCGCGGACCAGATAGAGGCGGTGGGAGCGCGGTCGAGCCAGAGGATGAGGTTGCACCGCTCACCGCAGCTCAGAGGCACAGCGCTGTGGCGGGCGGCGCCAGCGTGCAGAATCGCGCCGCCGAGCTCGTGCCCGACGGAGTGGCTCGCGTCGGCCCGCTCGGACGGGTGGAACGCGAGGTCGCCGCCCGCAAAGTCAGCCGCGGGCGTGAGCGCGACGTTGACTGTGAAGGCGCACGGGTCGCGGTGCGCGGCGTGACCGTCGCCCTCGCCGCTGTACCGGACGCAGAAAGCGCGCTGCAGCCGGAGCTCGGCGTGATACGCGCTGACGGCACGTAGCCGCTCGACTACCCGCTGCGCCGTCGGGAGGTGCGCTCCGCCGTCGAGCGTCTCGAGCGGCAGGTGGCGGTGGTCCACGTCGGCAGGCGCCGAGCGCACTGCGGAGAGAATCAGCTCGCACGCAGACGGAGAGAGCACGTCGCTCGCGGCCCACGCCTCGAGATGGCCGCCGAGGAGGCGCGAAAGGGAGATTGGTGGCGGCGGCGACGCCTCAGGCGGAGGCATGGGAGCTGGCGCGGAGCGATTTTCTTATTTTAGGTGGAGTCGTTTCGCCAAGCTCACACAAATTCAGTGGTCGGAAGCGGCGAGTCTCAATTCCAGGGGTCGTTGTGGCGGGCCACCCTGTCCAGAGCCCGGGAGGTGGATCGACAAGTCGGGAGAGAGTCGGGAGAGACAAGTCGTATCCAGCAGCCTCCCGGGATGGGGTCTTTCGACCGAGTCTGATTTCGCCTCGCCGCCTCCCGATGGTGGTAAGGCAGGAGCCAAACATTATTTAGGGAACGTTGGTTCGCTTGCTCTGTTCACAGCCTTGTTATGAGAAGAAAATACGTCATATGGCGCTATGCACTGGTCTGTGAGAGGTTGAGGTGCGAGCCCTGGAGGCCCTGGGGATGGAGGGAGACTACCCGCGGGCCTAGAAGGCCCGCGCGCAGGGGGGTGGGGCATTGAGACCGGGTCCGAACGTCGATTCGCCCCGTCCGTAACGTCTAACCGCCCGCCGCGCATAACTGACTCCTCATCACCTCCCTGCTCGCGCCGCTGTCCGCACAGGACGGGCGGCACACCTGCTCGCAGCCGCAGGTGGCACACGTCGCCGACTCAAGCTCCTTGCACGTCGCCGGCAGCTCGCCTCCCCCCTTGCCGCAACTCGTGCACACCATGCACAGCGCGCCCCCCACCGCGCGACTCACCGCGTAGTACGCGCGACCCATCTGGCCCGTGCCGCCCGTGACGCTCTCCGGGATGGTGTCCAGCAGGCCCGCCTCCACCACCGCCCACTGCAGCTGGCGCGGCAGCAGCTTCAGCACACGCCACGCGCGGGTGCGGTCGCGCCGGTCGAGGCCAAAGGTGATCGCCTCTTCCTCGGTCATCACCGGCCACCTGTGCGTGGCGCACCGCTCCTCCCGCAGCCCCGGGACCGTCCGAAGCGCGTCCTGCCCCTCGAGCCACACTCGCGACGAGTAGTCGCCCACCGCGACGTGCTGCCCGTACGTCACCGCGCTCTGCCGTGTGGCCACCGCAGCCGCTAGCGCCTGCATCGCCTCCTCGCCGCCCTCTACGGCGCGAGCTGCCTGCCGCACTGTCGACCGCCCAACGCCGAGCGACGTCGCCTTCTGCAACTTGACCTGCTCGCGGCGGCGCTTCGCCTCCTGCACCGCGGCCACCTCCCTGACCACGTCTGGATCGCCAGCCACCAACGCGAGCACGGCGTCCGACAGCCTCGGTCGACCCTCCCCCCGCCGCACACGCCCCAGCGCCCGTGCGGCACGAACCCTCGCGTTCTTCAGCCGCTCGTTGGCCGCCCTCACCGCCCTCTTTGCTAGCTTCTCCGCGGAGTCGCCCTCCTCGTGATCCCCATCCGCCCCGTCCGCCCCGTCCGCCTCCGCCTCCAGCGGCGGCGCCGTCGCGCGCACCGCCTCCAGCGCCTTCTGCTCCGCAGCAGCCTCCTCGCGCCGCGCGTGGATCACCGCCGCCCGCGCCTCCACCGCCTCACGCTCCGGCGCGTCCGCCGGCAGCTCGGAGAAGTGCATCGCCGCCGCAGCGCCCGCCGCTGGCACGCGCTCCGCGCTCGGCGACGAGAGCGCGCACAGCAGCTCCGCCGGCTTCTCCGCACCGCGCCAATGCTGCCCCAGATCGCGCAGCCGCAGGTCCGCCCGGTACACCCGGTCCATCGTGCGACTGTTCACCTTCCTGTGCCCCAGCACGCGAGCCGCCAAAAAGGTAGCGTCCGCACTGCCACACGTCGCCTGCACCTCGCACGCGTCCTTGCGCAGGGACCACGCGCCGATCACGCCCTTCTGGAACCCCAAGCTCACGCCGATCTCGTTGAGCCGCTTTCCCAGCGCCTCTCCGCCGTACGTCATGCGAGACCCGAGCAAGAAGTTGCCGGTCACCTTGTCGATCATCGGGAACATCACGCGATCCTCAGCCGCATCGTCGAGCACCCACCGCGAGTCGCAGCACGCCGCCACCAGATCGGCCCACGACTCGTACTTGGTGTCTGCCAGCTCCAGCCCAGCGAACCCCGCCGGGTCGTCCACCTTGCGCCGCAGCGCCACCACCTCCTCGCGCGAGAGCTTCGCGTACACCGCCTTTGGCGCCGCCGTTCGCAGCAGCAGCCGGCACAGCGCCACGGTGCCGAGCCGCACCATCTCATCCGAGTCCGGCGTCACGCACGTCCCGAACTGCAGGTTCGAAAAGTACTGCCCCTTCGCCCGCTGAAAGAAGATCTCAAAGTAAAACCGCGCCGCGCCGCCTCCGTTCGGCAGCTGCAGCCCCCCGTCGTCATCGAGCGTGCCAACGAGCAGATCCTGCCAGATAAGCGGCGCGCAGTTGGCCCACGCGCTGTTCGGATCCACCGAGTCGTTCTCCACGTTGACCGCCATCCCCGGGCGGGCACCCGTCAGCCGCGCGAAGCAGATGTACGCGTTGAGCACGAACGCCTCGTTCACCTCGATCGCCTCGCACAGCATCGCGTCCTGCAGCTGGTACTCCCCAGTCTGGCTGAGATGCTCCCGCGTCGAGATCGACGCCGTCGCCGCCCTCATTGCGAGCTGCACGGCCTGGCTCGCCGCGTCGCCAGCCGCCGCCGCAGTGGTCGCGTTCGCTCCCGCCACCACCTGCACCGCGCTGGCCGCCGTCTGCGCCACGCTGGCGAGCTGCTCGACCCCGCCGCTCCCTCTCCCTCCTCCCACGAGGCTCGAGAACTGGTCGCGAATGGGTCGCCAGTACGCTCTCGCCTCCTGCCCCGACGGGAAGCCCGCCGGGCCGGAAGGATCGGCCACACGTGGTTCTGCATGTTTTTGAAGTGCACCCTCACCGTGTTCGCCCCCCGCCCGATCAGCTCACGCTGCAGCCGCCACGACGCGAGCGACTGTCGGATGCGGCTCGTCAGCAGATACTGCAGAAACATGACGGTGAGCTGCTGGCACGGGTACCCGTCCTGCACCCCGTTCGCCCAGCTGGCGCGCATCGCCGCATCGCCGCCGTCTTCGTCAGACCGGTTCATCTCCCCCTTGAACTCGCGCCACCGCTTCAGCACCTCGCCGCATTGCATCCTCAGGTTGTGGCCGAGCGGCGCGAGCATTGAAGCCTCCCGCTCCGCCGGCGCCGCAATGGGTTGATGCAGCACCGCCGCCACGATGGCGCTCGGCCTCCGCATCCGCGACGCCGTGGTGTCCGCCGCCGCGAGCGGCGCCAGCAGCGCCGCCTGCACCGCCGCCCGCTCCTCCGCCGCCCTCTGCCTCTTCTCTTTGGGCGCGTCAGCCCACTCCTGGTGCTGCAAGGCGCACCGCTCGCCCGCCTCGCGCTTCGCCTTGCTCTTGGGCGGACGGGCGTACGCGAACAGCTCGTCCGCGTCGCCCGTCGCCGCCCGCCTTGCTGCGGGCACGGTGTGCAGCGCCTCCACCGGCCAAGCCTCCCGCAACGCCGCGCCGCGGCCCTCGCCCAGCCGCCTGAATGGTCCGCCACCACCGTTCGCCTTGTCCGCCGCTCGGGCCGCCGCCGTCAGCGCCGCGCCCCCGCCTACGAACGCGAGCGGATTCGGCATGGTGCGGCCGGCCCTGCGCCAAAGCCACGCTCCGGTGGGTGTCGGTCGCAGGCCTGACCCAATGAGACACGCTCCGCACCTCCGAAGCCTCCCAACGTTCGATTCGCCCCGTAACGTCTAACCGCCCGCCGCGCATAACTGACTCGTCATCACCTCCCTACCAACATACATAGGTAGAAAGGTGAAGAACAGCCAGGCTCGGACTGGACACCAACGCGGTATGGGTGGACGCTAGACGGATGATGACGACACGCACGAGCGACACACAGACACAAACAGGCTCACAAGACACACACCGGTCATTCACGGCGAGCACTATTTGTGAGCATCTGTCGTGGTGTCATGCTGCGGCGTTTTGCAATCATCGCCACTCTCGGCCTCGCCTCGGCGTTGCGTCCGACGCCGACGCACCTGGCGTTCGCGCTCTCGCAGCCTGCGCTCTCGCGCCGCGCGCTGCTTCCGGCTCTCGCTGCTGCCGCCACCGTCCGGCCGTCGCCTGCACTTGCCGCCGATGCGCTCGAGCAGCACACGACTGGCTCGTACCAGGTCACGTTCGGTGCACCAGCAGGCTGGCCTGTCAGCGAGCAGGAGCTCCAGGGCAGTCGCTACCTCTACATCGCCACCGACCCGGCCGAGCCAGACTCCGCCAACGTGGTTCTCACCTTCCAGCCGCTCGCAGCTGACTACACCAGCCTCGGCAGCTTTGGCACGCAGCAGCTGGTCGGCAACTCGCTGATGCCGCAGTGCGCGGACCGCAGCGGCGGCGGCTGCACGCTAGAGGGCTACGGCATCGAGGGCAAGATGCTTGGCACGGACACCTTAAAGGGCGCGCCGGCGACTGGCCCGACCTGCACCCTCGCCCCAGCCCCAGCTCCGACCCTGTCTGAGTCTAGGTGCCTACACCTACGACTACACGATTCAGCAGACCGGAAAGGCGCCGCGCCACCTTCGCACGCTGTTCGCGGTTCAGACCGAGGAGGGCCGCGGGCGCCGGCTGGTCACGCTGACGGCGCAATGCTACGAGTCGAAGTACGCCGAGCTCAAGCCGATGTTCCAAAAGGTTCTCGAGTCCTACTCGACATCGCTCAAGTAGGCGCATGTATCTCTTGTCGTATGCGTGGGTGGGGCATGGGGCCATGCGGCGGTCACGCGCGTGTGGCCGTCGGAGAGAGGGGACAGGGGTCCGGAGCGTGGTGTTGCGTACGCTGTTTGTCCGTCTCAGCGGGTATCGCCCTAAGAAAACTCAAGACGCGAATCACGCCGCCGTACACAGCGCCTCACCCTCCACCACTTGCAGCTCGGCGACCGCGAGCGTGCATGCAACCTCCCGTCGTGCTGCCGGCTGCGCGGGCAGCCATGAGGAGCCCGGGGCCCGTGGGGCGAGGCTAATGCCCGCCGCCAGCTCTGCGGGGAGCGGGGTCGCCCGCAGCCACTCCTCCATCCCAGCCGTGGCACCCGCTCCGTCCCTCTGGGCGTTTAGCGCCTCTCGCAGCACACGCGCCGCTGCGCACGCCCGCCGTTGGTCGGCGCGGGCGCGCAAACTCCATGGCTGGCCCGCGGCGGCGGCGGCGCTGCAGCGGTAAAAGACGCCCCACACCGGAATGGGCAGCTGCGGCGTCACCTCGGGGGCCAGGTCATGCAGCCGCCTCTCCTCGGGGAACGCCTCGATGCCCGCCCCGCCAGAGGTGGCGAGAAATCGCAGTCCACCCTCAAGGGCGCGGCGGATGCCATAGACGGCACGCGCTCCGCCACCACCGCCCTTTGCGTCCGTCTCGAGCAGCGCTGCCGGGCACAGGATCAGTGCGACCGGCTCATGAGTGGCGTCCGACGCCGAGGCGGCCGCGGCGCTCGCCCGGCGCCGGCCGCTGGCGCGGAAGATGGCCCAGCTGAGCGGCTCGCCGAGGTTCTCCCTGCCGACTGGGGCGCGCGACGCCGCGAGGAACAGCGCCTCCACCTCTGAGGGCCGCTTGTAGCCCGGCGTCCGAAGCTCACCAGCGTCCCACACGTCCTCCCTGTCGGTAGTGGCGGGGTGTGGCGATGAGAAGGGCTGGCGAGGAGTAGCCTTGCGTTGCGCCCCGCCGCAAGCATGCCGCTGTTTGTGGCTGCGTCTGTGTCGGGTGCGCTACCTCAATGGCAGGCAACCGCGGTGCTGTCGCTGTTGCAGTGCTGTCGCTGTTGCAGTGCTATCGCTGCTGCGGTGCTGTCACTGCCGGTGCTATCGTTGCGCGTGGTGTAAAAACTCTCATTTTCGATCGCCTCGACGACTTTCTCGGCTATGGTTCCGATTCCAGTTTCGGCTGATGATGAGGGTTGACAAGCAAAAAAAAGAACAAAGAATTGAGACACCCCAAGGGAGGGATGGGAGGACGGCACGCCGCCACTACACAGGGATTTTAAGGAGAGGAGTGTGGTGGTGCTAGCCGTCGCCCACCCTTGGGCGTCTGCCCCTTCCTATCTCTCTTCGCAGTCCCTGACAAGGTGCCGAGCCCACGTCGTAGCTAGATTTCTGCCGCCGTGAATTCTTTGTAGCGAGATCGGTTGACACGGATGAGTGTATATGTTGCCCGTGGCGGTCGCCACTGTGGCTACCACAACCGACGACGGTGCCGCGCATATCACCGTCGTTCCCACCGCCGACGGCGCTGCCGTCACCGTGAGCCCACCAGCGATCGGCGCTGCCGCCGCCCATCCTACGGAGGTTCGAGGTCCTGCCACCTCGCTTGCGGCGGCCGATAATGGTGATAGGATGGACGCCTGGCTCTTGGCACGGCAATCGGCGCGACGAGATCGCGCCACGCGGCTCGCCAGCGCCAGACTCGACGCACGAAACCTGACCGACAACCTGACGGCGTACCACCTCTCATCATCGTACCGCTCGTGGAGGGAGGCGAAAGACTTGCGACGCCAGCGCTGGTCAGACGACGGCATTTCCCGCCCCGCCTTCAACCTGACCGCCTACCGCCTCTCGCCCGAGTACATTGCCTGGAAGAGGCGCGGGCCCGGCCCCTGCCCTCCGAATGCCGCGGGGGGCGAAGGGGAAGGGAGGGGGAGATGTGGTGGGTCAATTGTGAGACGCTTGACATATGCATAATTTGCACCTTTACCTTTGACCTCCTTGTAGTCGGCTCGGCAACCTGACGGCCTACTACAACTCATCATCGTACCGCTCGTGGCGGGAGGCGAGAGACTTGCGACGCCAGCGCTGGTCAGACGACGGCATTTCCCGCCCCGCCTTCAACCTGACCGCCTACCGCCTCTCGCCCGAGTACATTGCCTGGAAGAGGCGCGGGCCCGGCCCCTGCCCTCCGAATGCCGCGGGGGGCGAAGGGGAAGGGAGGGGGAGATGTGGTGGGTCAATTTGAGACGCTTGCCCCGCCTCGCATAAGCATAATTGTGCACTTTACCTTTGACCTCCTTGTAGTCGGCGCGACGCGGCGATGCGCGAGTGGGAGGCAAACGGCCGGCCAGCCGTGCCAGGGCAAGGCACTGACCTGCGCGCGTACTTTCAGCGGAGCTGGAACACGGCCACCGCAGAGGTACCCTAACCCTAACCCTAACCCTAACCCTACCCCTACCCCTACCTCAAGGAACACGGCCACCGCAGAGGGGTACGACTGCACAAGGCCGCGCCGGTTCGGCCCGAGCGGAGACGGAGGCAAGGTCGACGAACCGTCTCCCTCCCACCCGCTCCCCCGCCAGCTCCCCCACTCCCTCTCTCCGTCCCGCACGCAAGGTCGTCTGCCTCGACGCGATGCCGCCGGCCGCAGAGCCGTGCTTCATGCTGTCGATCGGGTGCCCGCGTAGACTCAAGAGTGACGCCTCGAGCTCCATCTCCAGCCCTCGCAGATGACCCGAGATAGCATAATCACAGCGCGCGAGACTGGCCTGAGATGACCCGAGATGACCCGCGAGATTGACCGAGATCAGGTACGGCTCCGACGCCGGCTTCGAGCACGCGCTGCACGCCGCGCACCCTCGCTGCGTGGTCCGTTTGCGGGGGGGGCACGGCGCTCGTCGATAGGAAGAGAGCGCTCCTCTCGACTACATCTCGGAGCCCTCTGGTAGGTCGAGCTGTGGGACGGCACCGTCGCCCCGCGCGAGCAGCTGCCCGGCTGGCTCACCTTCCACGGCCGCAACTTTGAGAAGGGCAGCTGGCGGCGGTACCGCGGCCGGAGAGTGGACATCCTCAAGATCGACTGCGAGGGGTGCGAGTACTCTGTCCTGGAGCCCCTCGTCCACCAGCTGCGCCCCGAGCAGGAGCCGCGGCTGCAAGTCCTCTCGGCAAGATCTTCTCGGCTGCACACCTCCCCCTCAGCGGCAACCCCTCGCTGGGGGCCACACCTCGCTCCTCGGGCGCACGCCTCCCGCCCTCTTGGATGCACAGGTGCTGCTGGAGCTGCACGGTTCGAGAGACTACCTGCCTTCGACCGATGCTCCCGAGGCCGCGGTCGAGAAGCTCATGCGCGCCATCAACAAGACGCATGGCATCTACTACCGCGAGCCCAACATTCAGCACTCGGACGGCACTTGCATCGAGTTTGCCCTGCGCCGCCGCGGGGGTGTGGTGATGGGGTGACAGCTACAGCTGCACACGTGTGCTCGTGTACGCATGTTATGTACGTGTACATACGTCCTCCAGCCAGGCAAGATGATTGATGATCCACTTGACTGACTGGAATTTCGCTGTCTGCGCGACAGGAGTCAGGTCTCAGGACACATGTGTGAGGCGAGAGACACTGACAGAGAGAGGGGAAGTACAAGTAAAGTGCTAGTGGAGCTGGAGGACGAAAGGAACAAAGTTTCTGAGGACTCTGCACCGTCTGTGCCGTGTGCGTTCTCGCACATGCGGATGTCATGCGTCATGGAGTACTTCAGAGCTGTCGTGACCGTGGGATGTCTGTGGGCCCGAGAAAGATGTGTGTGTGTGTGTGTGTGTGTGTGTGTGTGTGTGTGTGTGTGTGTGTGTGTGTGTGTGTGTGTGTGTGTGTCTGCCTTATTTGCATCGACTAATCGACCTCTTCGACGAGCCTGTGTCCCTCCGTCAAGCCTTCGCGGCAGCCCCGATGGACGCTTTCGTCGAGCCTGTTTTTGGCGAGCGATCGCTCTTCGAGTTCATCGCGTGCATGCTTCCGTCGCAAGCGGACATAGCGAGGCTGACGCTCGCGCTCCGGAGCGCTCCGGAGCGGCTGCCCACTCGCACAGGACGAGTTGGCAGCGCTCATGAGCCGGCACTCGATGCAGCCGCTGACGGGGAGCCAGCGGCAGATCGTCACCGACCCCGAGCTCGGCTGCAACAAGGATTGCTGCGCTCGCACTCCGCATCCCCGGGCTCGACGCCGTGCCACCTTTCCTCTCGCGGATCGTGCCGCTGGGCTGCGCCAAGCACCACTACAAAAAAATCAGCCCGCAGTGCCACGTGTACTCCATCGAGTCGGCCGATGGCCCCGTCATCTTCACCTTCTCGTACGAGATCCAGCGAGCGGCTCAAGGGCGACAAGGTCGCCGCGACCCGCATGAAGGACGGCGATGAGATCGCGGTGATTGTGCTGGAGGATGCGGTGACCAACGGCGAGCAGTGGAAACTCTCCCGGCTACGACGCGTGCGGTCACCCACACGCCGCCAGCTCACTCGTGAGTGAGCTCGTGTTGCTGGCAACTGCTGCGACCTCGTTGCTTGCGCCGTACACGCACGTGCGTGTGTGTGGTACACAAACAATTATTTGTACAGTCAGTTGTAGTGGATGGATGGATGAACAGAACACAACTCATGCACTGACTGACTGACAACTCCGGCATCCTTTTTTGTTGCCGAGAAGTTTACATGTACAATGTCGATCAAAGGCTGAAGAGAGAGAGAGAAAAAAGGCTGAAAAGGACCGAGCTCCGACCGTGACTGACCAGGGATTCCGCCGCAAATTTTGATGAAGTTGAAGAGCACGTTACGCAAGGCTCTTTTGGCCCTGAGAACTTGTGGTCGAACTTCGAGCATGGCGAAAAGCCCGTCCACGATTTGCGTGGCGACGGTCGTGACGGCCGAGTCCGTACGCAACCTGCACCGGCTGGCAGATACGTGGTCAGGCCCACTATCCGTCGCCTACGTGGTGCCGAGCCTTGCCGGCACCATGACTGCAGCCACCTCGCCTTGGCATGTGCTGCAGGCGGGGCGCCCCGCCCCCTCCCACACCTCAGACCAGCCTCTCCTCCACGAAATGCGCGACGCGTGCCTCCGTAACCGCCTCAGACAGCGGACGGCAAGTTGCCGATGGATCCCACTCGTCTCCACCTCTCCCTAGCTGGCTGCCACACACCCTGAGTTGGCGTACACATAACTCAGGGCCACATTCTTCCTGTCGCCCCCCCCAGCACTAGCACTCCAAGGTGCCAAGAGAAACAAACAAGGGCACAACAAACAACAGACGACAGGAAGTAACGTGCGAGGCTAGAGCAGGCTTTACGAGTAAAAGAAATCCCTGTTGCCGAGGCAAGCCTCTCACGACACACACCCCTGCATACAGGTGAAGAAACCTCTCGCGAGCGCGCGCGCCGTTCCCAGTCTAATGGCCCTGGCCGGGTCCGACGTCCTCGCCGAGAGCTGGACGTCGGCCGCTCCAGGCTATGACGAGCTCTTCGTGCCGCGGTTTGCGCCCTGGACGGAGGACGCGCTCGCGGCACTGACGCAGCACAAACACTCGCTCCCGGAAGACCACGAGGTGCTGGTGCCGTGCTGCGGTCCGGGCCAGGAGCTGCTGCCGATCGCAGAGCTCCTGGGTGGCGAGCGGGCCGTTCGCGGCACCGATCTCGCGCCGGGAATGATCGAGATTGCGCAGAGCCGCTGCGTCGCCGCGGCGGCCCGCTTTGGCCGCATGTCTGCTGAGGTGGGAGACGCCATGGCGCCCGGAGCGGGCCCGTACGCCGCCATCTTCTCCGTGTTTGGCCTGCAGCAGCTACCCGACCCAGTCGCTGCCATCGAGGCCTGGGTGCGCGCACTCGCCCCCGGCGGCGTCGCCGTCGTCTGCTACTGGCCAATGGGCGCGGGCGTCGAGGCCGCCGGCCCGTGGAGGCACTGGGGCGGGCTGATCCGGCGCGCGATCGGCGACGCTGCGGCGCGGCGCGGCGCGGTGGGCTGGGAGGATGCGCTGGCTGGCGCGGCGGCGGCGGTGGGAGCAGAGGTGCTTGCGGACGAGGAGCGGAGGCCTAGATGCCGCAGAGACAGGGGCGGCTCGACCGACACACTCCCGTCGTGTTCTACACAAGGTGGATGCTGCACGGCACGGCACTTCACAGCTCTCCCTTTATTCGCACTGCAGGAGCGGCGGCACCGCATCGAATGGCCGTGCCCGGCCGGCATGTGGGAGGGCATGACACGAAGCGGCCCGTGGCATGCGCAGCGTGTCCGCCGCGGAGACGCCTTTGTGGACGGGCTGAGAGACGACTTCCTCGCCCCGTACGCGCCGCAGGAGCCACTCGCACACAACCCCGCCGCTCGCCTCCTTGTTTTGCGGAAGCGCCGTTCGGGCGAGTGAACAGAGTGAAAACGAGTCTGCTCTACTATACGTAGTTTTATGTGAGTAGTGTGGAGTGTTTGTGAGAACACTTTTTGCGCGCGAGGCGCGTGTGCGTGTGACACGTCTCACATGCACCTCTTGTATTCTCTCCTCAGTAACGCACCGTCACCCGAGGGGGCGAGGGCAAGGTTAGGCAACGCGTCCACGAGGGACGCTCTCATAAGCAGCCGCTTCAGCGGCGCGTTCTTTACCACCAACGCCTCCGGCGCGAGCGCAGCGTCGAGCGCCTCGAGGAGCGGCAGCAACATCTGCAGCTCGCGGCTGCCGTTGACATCGACGAATATCTTGTCGAAGGGACCTCGAGCGCGCAGCGCAGACACGTCGCTCGCATCTGCCTCGAGGAAGTCGAGGCGCGGGAAGCGCGATCTCGCCATCGCAATCACCTGTGTTCAGAGGATATGCCTGCGGTGTGCTGTGTCACGGGGCAGGTCTTGTTCCATAATCACCTTTGCAGAGAGGTCGACGCCCAGGACGTGACCGCACCGGCGGGCGATGAGGGCCGTGGTGACGCCGCGGCCGCAGCCGACCTCCAGCACCCGATCGGTTGCTGCGACCACCGTCTCGATGGTCCGCCGGTACTCGGAAAAGTTCTCGGCGACGACGATTCGGCCGCGCCTCAACGCTCGACAGTTGGTAATGTGCCTGCGGCTCTGCTGGTGGAACCTCCTGTCTGCCTCTGTCATACCTGCGAGGCTGGCGCCGCACGAGCACAGATCTGTCGACGATGATTTGCCCGTCAAGGAGTGCCGTCGGCCGAGCCAGTAGGCCACTGCGGCTGCAGCGGCAGCAGCAGTCGTGGCGGCGATGGCGGCTTGCTTGGAGCACATGCGTTGCATGTACAAGTCGACTTGTATCGACCTGCTATAGCCGCAGCCACTCCCAGCTGCTCGGTGTGAACAGAGTTCGTACACCGAGATCCCTCGAGAGTTCACGCGGAGTCGGCTGGGGCTATACCAGACAGTCGACGGGGCGAGCCTTGCGGATGAACAGAGAAGAAACTCCCCAACTAATGACTGTCCTCCAAGTGCTCCAAGTCGGGGTTACAACCGCACGGGCGAGTGGCCAGAGCCCATTCTCACCAGCCCTGCCCCGCAGCGCGGCCGCTCGCCAAGCCCCGTCGATGAGTGGTCAGATGGTTAGTGCCCGAGAGCGAGGGGTCCGGGGGGGAGCACAAACATAGGACGCCCAGCCTTGCCCTCGTGCCGCCGAGTGCATATCCTATGCGAGAGAGATCCCCTGTGCCCTGTGCCCAGCCCTCTCCGCGCGGCGATGCGCCCTCCCCCCTCGCTTTTGCAAAATCCTGCAAAGGTGGGGACGTGTCTGTCCTCGACCCAGCCCTAGCTTGGGATGTCCGTTGTATTTATTTATTTATAAGTGCTCCAAGTGCTCCCAAACTCCCAAAACGATAGTGAGAGACTGATCGCCAGTGGAATAGGGAGTCCACCGTGCTGCGAACCTGTCGCTGTCTGAGGGAGGGTGTAGTCTGTAGAGGATGTAGAGTGTAGAGCGCTGAGAGCTGTAGATAGAGATGTAGAGCGCTCTGGAGCGCTGTAGAGCTGTAGAGCTCTACATCCGCCGCGTGACGATGCGGGTGCGTTGTAGAGCGATGTAGAGGCGCTCTACAACGTGAAATCTCTGCTGCGTCCCCGCGTGGCCTGCCCGATGGCGTGGTGCCCGCCCTCCACCCACCTCCCCGCGCGGGGCCGCTCCGGGGCGACCCGGGACCCTGTCGTGTGGGTGAACGCGTGAACCCTGCCCAGCCCCCCTCCGTGCCGCGATGCGCTCCCCACTCCCGTTCCCCTGTGTCCCTGATCGTCCTTACAAGATCCTGCTCGTGCAGGTAGGGACCCGCCTGTCCTCCCCCCATCCCTCGTCTGGATTTGTCTATTTCCTTTTTTAATGTAATGAAAAGAAATCGGACGGGATCTTCCCGAACGCCGCCCCGCCGCTTCGCGCAAGGCTCTCGCTCCAGGCCATCGCCACCCGGTGCGCTGCCGCTGAGGTTGTGGCTATGTTGGCCCAGGCGAGGTTAGTCACGGGGGGCGCCATGTCACAGAACGAAGGCGTAGCGCGGCAGCAGAACTGGGAAGCACGGGGGGTTGAGGGGAGAAGCCGGGGGGATAGCGCCCGTCGAGAACTTCGCCGCACCGCGCGTTTCTTTTCGTGTACCTGTGTGGTGGTGTGCCAGTGCGCGCCAGTCCCGTGCCCATGTCGTGGGACGCCAATCGTTGCGAGGCCTTGGGGCGGGGGGCGGGCCCCTGCGCCTTCTTGCCACCGCGAGCGGTGTGTGGGCACGTAGAGCTCCATCCCTCCTCGGCAGTGGCCGCGCTCGGGGTGGCTACATGACCCTGCTCACATCGGACAGCGATCTCGGGCGGACAGCAGCTGCGGACGACGAGCTCGGCCGCGGCGCCGGCTCGAACCAGCTTCTGCTCACCAAGGAGGAGCAGCAGCGCCGCCGTGCAGCCGCGAAAAAGGCGGCGGCCACGCAGGCCGCGGCCGACGCAGCGGCTGCCAAAGCGGCCACGCCGCAGAGCAAGGCGCAGCGGCGCAAGCTGGAGCAGCTGGCCGCGCGGAAGCGCAAAGCGGAGGAGCGCGCCGCCGTCCTCGCCTCACTCTCTCAACACCGCGTCGCCGCAGCGCACGTGCCGCTGCTGCGCTCGAGCGGCACCATGGGCCAGCAGCTGTCGAAGCGGCAGCGGCTGCAGCGCGCGCTGCAGGCCAAGGCGGCACAGGTCGAACTAGACGACGTTGAGCCGCTCGAGGTCCTCCGCGCGACGCCAGACGACGAGCCGCCGCGAGCGCTGGCCGCCGCCTCGGCGGCGGGTGGTGGAGGCGGAGGCGGCGTGGCGGCCGGCGCGGCGGAGGAGGAGCGGGACGACGCGTATTGGGCGCGGCAGGCGATGGGCTTCGGGCTCGCTCTGGGCGGGCTGCCCGGCGACGTTCGCGGGTGCGGGTCCCTCTCCTTGCGCAAGGGCAAGGCTAGCCGGACGACGCTGGACGCTGCCTCGCGCATGAGCAGTCAGGCAAGGCAGGGGGAGGATGAGGGCGAGGAGGGCGAGGAGGCCGAGGAGGAGGACGACGACGAGGAGGAGGACGACGACGACGACGAGGAGGAGGAGGAGGCCGACGGCGGCGGCGACGACGACGACGAAATGGAGGAGGCGGGGCAGCGGCAAGAGGAGGCGGGGCAGCAGCAAGAGGAGGGAGGCGAGGAGGAAACAGAGGAGGCGGAGGAGGCGGAGGAGGCGGAGGAGGAGCTCGAGGCGGCGGAGAGTGAGGAGCTGTCCCTCGAAGAGGAGGACATGGAGGAGGAGGTGGTGGAGCCGATGCGAGCCGTGCTGCGGCACGGTGGGCCACTCTGCCCGCACAGACACAGCTGCCAACCCCACCACTCACCACTGATCACATCGCAACCCCACCCACCCCACCCGGATGCAACCCCACCCTCTCCTCCTCCTCCTCTACCACCGCCGCCACCGTCGCCACCACTTCCTCCTTCGCCTCCACCTCCACTCCACCACCTCTGGCGATTGCGACGCGACGGCGACCGCCTGCTGTGTCCTGCGCTAGGCGGCACCCTCCTGCGGCAGCTCGACGCCGCGCAGGCGCTGCCCGCGGGAAGCCGCCGCCAGCGCCGCGCGCTGCACGCCGTGTGGCGCCAGTTCACGGCCGAGCAGAGGCGGGAGATGGCGGCGCTGGCGGACTCCGACGACGACGACGACGACGACGACGAGGGCAGGGGCGGGAGCGGCGGCGGGCAGGGCGGGCAGGGCGGGCAGGGCGGGAGGCCCCTCAGCGAAGTTGCGCGCTCGGTGCTTGCACTCTTCGAGGGCGCCTCCGCCGCCGCCGCCTCCTCCTCCGCCGCCTCCTCCGCCAGTGGCGGCGGGGGCGGCGGCACGGCGCCGGCGGCAGCAGCGCCGGCGACCTCGTCCCCGGTGCCGTCGGCGGCGGCTGGCTCCTCGGCGGCGGCGTCTGCGGCAGTGTCCTCGGCGGCGAGGAGCGGCGCAGCGGCGACCCAGGCCGCCGCCGCGCCGGCCCGCAGCACCGTCGCCGGCCCGCTGTCGCGGACGGGCGCCTTTTACGTGCCCGTCCAGCGCACGCCCGCGGTGGTCGCGTCACGGGAGGGCCTCCCGATCTTTGGCGAGGAGCAGCGCGTGATGGAGGCGGTGGGCGAGAGCGACACGCTGCTGCTCTGCGGCGAGACGGGCTCCGGCAAGACGACGCAGGTCCCCCAGTTCCTGTACGAGGCGGGGTACGGACACCCCGACGCCGGCCAGCGGCGCGGCATGGTCGGCGTGACGCAGCCGCGCCGCGTCGCGGCGATCGCGATGGCGCAGCGCGTGGCGCACGAGCTCAACACGCCCGTCGGCGGCACGGTCGCCTACCAGGTCCGGTACGACTCGTCGAGTGTGGGCAAGGATTGCCGCATCAAGTTCATGACGGACGGTGTGCTGCTGCGCGAGGTCGGCCAGGACTTGCTGCTCCAAAAGTACTCCGCCATCGTGCTTGACGAGGCGCACGAGCGAGGAGTCAACACCGACCTTCTCCTCGGCCTCCTCTCGCGCGTCGTGCAGCTGCGTGCGCGCGCGGCCGAGAGCGCGCCGGCGGCGGGCGCCCCTTCGGCGGGCCCGCTCAAGCTGATCATCATGTCGGCGACGCTTCAGGTCGAGGCGCTCAAGGCGAACGCGGCGCTCTTCCCATCGCCGCCGCCGGTGCTCTCCGTCGCGGCGCGGCAGTACCCGGTGACGGTCCACTTCTCAAAGAAGACGCCGGACGACCACGTCGACGCCGCCTTCTCCAAGGTTGGGCGCATCCACTGCCGCCTCCCGCCCGGCGCAATCCTCGTCTTTCTCACCGGCCAAAAGGAGATCGAGCACCTCTGCGCCAGGCTGCGGCGCCGCTTCGCGCGCGCGGCGGTGCGGCGCGGCGGCGGCGCGGGGGCGGCGGCGGCGGCAGGGGGCACGGAGGCGGTGGCGGAGGCGGCGGGGGAGGAGGAGCGGCGGGCGGTGGCGGAGGCGGCGATCCGCGAGGTGACGGCGGTGGAGGCGGAGGCGGGAGGGCCTGCCCTCGCGCGCGGGGCGACCGGCCTGATTGGTGAGGAGGAGGAGGAGGACGAGCGGCCAGGGAGCGGCGGCGGCGGCGGCGGCGGAGGTGGCTTTGATGACGTGATGGACGACGGTGGGGGGTGGGGCGAGGAGGGCGGCGAGGAGGGGGAGGGGGAGGAGGAGGAGGAGGAGGAGGAGGAGGAGGGCGGGCCGGTGCTGGTGCTGCCTCTGTACTCGATGCTGCCTCCCGCGCTGCAGATGCGCGTCTTTGCGCCGCCGCCTGAGGGCACGCCCCCGCCCCCCCCGTGGTGCCGACCAGCGTCAAGGGCGGGGCCTTGCCTGAACCCTTCTCGGGTCGCTCCCCGCAGGCGCGCGCCTCATCGTGGTAGCGACCAACGTCGCCGAGACCTCGCTCACGATCCCGGGCGTGCGGTACGTCGTCGACAGCGGCAAGCACAAGCAGCGCAACTTTGACGAGCGAGGCGCAGCCCTCACGCCTCCACCTCGAGGCAGGTGTCGCGTCCGGCGGACCCACTCGCCAGCCACTCCTCTCAGGCGCAACCTCGCGCTTCGACCTCGAGTGGGTGTCGCGCGCGTCGGCCGACCAGCGCGCCGGCCGCGCCGGCCGGGTGGGGCCGGGGCACTGCTACCGCCTCTACTCGTCCTCCGTCTTTGAGAATGTCTTTCCGGCCTTCGCGGAGCCCGAGATCCGGCGCGCGGCCGCCGAGGGGGCGAGGCGCGTCCACGACACGCCCTCGTGACACGAGCGCGGCCCGTCTCGCAGGCGAGTGCCCGTCGAGGGGGTGGTGCTGCAGATGAAGGCGAGGGGCTCCGCGCGCGGCGGCGGCTGTGGAGCGGCGTCTCTTCACAGACTGTGCCGTGAGCAGGCGATGGGCATCGTGCACGTGCACTCATTCCCCTTCCCCGAGCCGCCCGCACGCGAGTCGGTCGACGCGGCGCAGGGCGCGCTCCGCTGCATCGGCGCGCTCGACGCCTCGGCCGAGGCGCGCACGTGGCCCGCTCGTGCGGCCGCTCGACACACCCGCCCGGCACGGAGGCGAGCACTGCCTGCTAGGCGCGCGTGACCGACTTGGGCAGAGTGCTCGCGCGGCTCCCCATCTCTGCGCGGCTCGGCAAGCTCCTCGTGCTCGGCCGGCAGGCAGGCGTGCTGCAGCACGCGCTGCCGCTCGCGGCGATGCTCGCGCAGCCTGACCCGCGCGGCTTCGACGCCGGCGAGGCGGCCGAGGCGGCCGAGGCGGCCGAGGCGGGGGCAGAGGGCGCCGCGGGGGCGGGGGCGGAGGCAGGGCGCGCAGGGCGCGGCACGGCGGAGGGAGGCGCAGAGGGAGACGCCGCCGGAGCGGGGGAGGGGGCGGCAGGGCAGTGGGCGTGCGCCGAGTCAGACGCCGTCTCGCTGCTCGGCACGTACCTGGCCTGGCGGACGGCGGGCGGAGACGACGACGCGGCGGCGGCGTTGCGCCTCACGCCAAAGGTGATGAAAGAGGCGCACCAGCTGCAGGCGCAGCTCGCCGAGCTGCTGCGCCAGATCTTTCCGCACGACCCGCCGCTGCCCGCCGCCGTCGCGCCGCCCGACGGCACGCAGGCGGTCGCGCTGCGCCGCGCCCTCGCCCACAGCCTGCCCGACCGCGTCGCGCGGCTGGCATCGCTCTGCGACTCTCCCGCCGAGCTGCAGCTGCTGCGCGACCTCTCCAAGGACCTCAAGCCCGCCCTCGTCCGCCGCGCCTACCTCGCCGCAGAGCAAGGCCGCGGCCAGCTCCTCTGGCTGCGCCCCGGCTCGCGCCTCGCCGCCGCGCGGCCACGGCCTCCGTGCGCCCTCCACGAGGGACTCTCCGCTCGCCAAACGACGCGCCCACGACACGCCCCCCGCGCCACGTCGTCAGGTACATCTCTTTCTTCGAGATTCAACACGCCAAGCGGCCGTACATGGAGCGCGCTTCGGCCGCCGACCCGCGCTGGCTGCCCGACGCGTCGCCTTCCCTCACGCGCCTCTCGGCCCCCCTCGCCGAGCTGCCGCCGCTGTACGACGCCGCGGAAGACTGCACCCTTTGCTGGCGCGCACGACGCACTCCAAAGACCGCGCCTGCGGCCACCCTGTGCAGACGGCTCCTGCTCTCGCCACGCTCTCCCTTTCCCTCGCCACCACCGCTGCCACCGCCACCGCCACCCGCGGCATGTCCCAACGAAGTCGTCCGCCGCCCGCCTGCAGGTGCAGCCCCACCTATGGCGCCGCGGGATGGCAGCTGCCTCCGGTGGCGCGGCCGCCGCCCGCCGCCGACACAGCGATGCGCGCGGCCCTGTTTGGGCGCGCGCTCTGCGCCGGCCACGTCCTCCGCGCGCTCAAGCCCCTCGCCGAGCCGCTCACGCCTCGCGCGCGCGCGATGAGCGACGCGGCCGTGGTCGACCGCGCCGCGCTCGCCCTGCGCTCCCGCCTCGAGGGCGGCGGCGTGCTGAGCCGTGCGGCGCTGTGCGGCCGGCTGAGGAGCGAGCCGCGCTTCCTCCTCCGCGAGATCGCGGCGCTGCTGCCGCCCGAGCGGAGGCAGGCGCTGCTCGACGCGTGGCCGAAGCTGCTGCTGCAGGCAGAGCGAGCCGGCGCGGCGTGAGCGGTTTGACCCGGTTCCGCGGCGGGCGGGGCGAGTACTGGTATGATGAAAGGGAGAGCGGACAGGACACAGGTGGTGGGTTTTGTGAGTAATCGTCAACTGTGTGACAGCTGTGAGCTCAAGTGTAAAACAAAAACATCATCCACACGCGAGAGAGGACGGATGCTCTCACACACAGAGCGGAGAAGGAACACGGGATTCACAACAAATACAAACTAGGGCGTCGAAGTACATGCTCGGCCTAGCGAGCTGGCCTTCATAGGGCTCGGCTGCGGGTGATGGCGAAAACTCGCCGCCGCGACCGGAGAAATGCGCGGGCGTCAGAGCCAAGGCGGCTCTGGGAGAGGCGACGGTGCATCGAGAGGCGCCGACGCCCAGAGACAAAGTATCGGCTCTCGGTGAGGCGTGGCAGGCTGGTGCCCGGCGGGGATGCAGCCAGCATATCTATCGCTGCGTTTGCCCCTGTGAGGGCGGCAGCCACTGCCGCCCCTCCGAAGGAGATGGGGATTCCACTCGCAAGCCTCGGAGGCTCGTCGGCGGCGAGGGAAAAGAGTGCGGCGTTGGCACCGGAGAGCGCGGCGGCCATGTAACTGTCTGTGGTGGGCTGGCGCGAAAGCGCGGTGAAGCCTGGCGCGGAGCACATGAGGAAGGCTGCAAAGGCTGCAATCGCCATGGAAGGGCTTTTCAACTCGAAAGCTGTTGTTTCCAGGCAATGTCCGCAAGAAGAAGAAAAAGAAAACCTACATGGACGTGTAGAAGGGAAAAAACAACACTCGAGGAAAGAAGGGACGTCGCCAGCTAAACTTCACGAAAAGAAAGAATTTCCCGCGAAAGAAACCCGACATTTCGACGTGGCTGGCGGCGCGCAGAGCGGCACAGAGCCGCCCTGCTCATGAAAGAGCGGCCCTGTGAATGAAGCGCCTCTCTCGCCGCGTGACTGCCCGCGCCGCGTCGCACATCGCCGCCAACCACGGAGGTGGCGGAGTCGCTCTGTGGCAGCGCGTGCCGGGCAGCGACCGGTGGCGCTCGCTCGACGGCGGGCCGTCGCCGCCGCGGGCGGGCCCATCCCGCCGCTCGGGTTTGCGGGAGGCGCAGTCCGCGCTCGAGGCGGTGCTTCTGCCGTGCGACTTCCCGCACTCGGTCGGGCCGGGCTACCTGCGCTACGTCCAGTGGACCTCGATCGGGCTCGTCACGGGCAAGGTCGAGTCAATCCTCGCGACGCAGGCGGCGCTCTTTGCGGTGGGCGTCGGCGCCGGGGCGGTGCCGATGGCGGCGGCGATCCAGTGGGTGCTCAAGGATGGAGTCGGCCATGCGGCGGCGATCGGCTACGCCACCGTCGTCAACACGCGTTTTGACGCCGACGCCCGCCGGTTCGGGAGACACTTCCGAGACACTTCCGAGACACTTGCGAGACACTTGCGAGACACTCCCGCGGCCTCCACGTCGCCGCTCGCGCATGAGCCACGCCCACGGGACTGACGGGCCCGCGAGTGTGTCCGCAGGTACCGCTTCCACGCGACGGCGGGCCACACCGCCGCCGACCTGGTCGCTTGCACGATGCCTCTCGCCCCGAAGACTGTCGCGCTGGTCGGCCTCGAGGTGAGGAGTCGCCACTAGTGACTGGCCACTGGCCACTAGACACCGGCGGCTGGTCACGACTCTCCACTCCCGCCGCCGCACCACCGCAGGTGCCCTCCTTCCTCCTCCTCGGCTCGCTCTCCTCCGCCATCTCCTCGGTCGCCGGCGTCGCGCAGGCGGTGGCGCGCGCTCGCATCATGGCGTCCTTTGCGCGGCAAGGCAACCCCGCCGACGGCACGCCTCACTTGTTCCTTGAGAGTGATCCTCCACTCCTCGTCGACCAGGCAACCTCGCCGACTGCACGCGCGCGGGCCAGTCACAGGCGAAGCTCATGTCGCTTGTCGGCACCGCAGCCGGCATCGGCCCCTCGTGGCTGTCGGCCAAGACAGAGCTCGAGACGCACGAGAGGAGAGCTGTGAACAGGCATCGGCCTCTCGTGGCTGGTCGGGCCGCAGCCCGCCCACGTCATCGGGCTGATGCTGCCCCTCTCCCTCGTCTCTCTCTACTCGGTGTACCGCTCGTGCGATCACATCGTCCTCACCTCGCTCAACCTGCAGGCGCACCACCACCTCCGCACGCACCTCCGCACGCACCTCCTACACCTCCCATACACCCCTCCTACACACCTCCCACACACCTCCCACACACCTCCCAGACCCTCCCACACACCTCCCACACACTTGGCCTCACCTCGCCCACACACTTGGCCTCACCTCGCCCACACCCTTGGCCTCACCTCGCCCACACACTTGGCCTCACCTCGCCCACACACTTGGCCTCACCTCGCCCACACACTTGGCCTCACCACGCCCACACAGCAGGCGGCAAGCACACAGCAGGCGGGAAGCTCTCCGACACGCCCGCCTCTGCCCCAGCGTCGGCCGAGCTCACCGCGCCTCCCTCTCCCTCTCCTCCCTCCCTCTAGCGGACCGAGCGAGTCTACCACGCCGCCCTCGACGCGCTCGCCGCCCGCCGCACCGCTGGCGGAGCCGACCCCGCCGACGCAGCCGACGCAGCCGCGGCCGCCGCCCTCTCCGCCGCTGCGGCGGCTGCAGTCCCGTCGCCGCAGCAGGTGGCCGAGGCGGAGAACATCGCGCTGCCTTACCGCTCCGTCTTCGGCGGGGCGCTGCGGCTGCAGCCGGCCCTCCGCGACGCGACGCTGGTCGGCCTGCTTTCGGAGGCGAGGCGGTCGGGCGGGGAGGCCGTGGTGTCGAGGCTGGTGTGTCGGGAGGCAGCCGCCCTGTCCGGCGGGAGGGGGGGGAGAGTGAGCCGAGGGTGATCCGAGGGGCGCAAGCTCGCGTAGGTGTCTCCCCAGCCGGCCGGCTGGAGGGTGAGGTGGCACGGCGAGGGCTGCTACGCGCTGGCGGAGCGCAGGCGCGGCGGCACCGCGCCGCACGAGGCCGCGGGTCGGCCTGAGGAGGTGTTGAGATTGCGAGATTGCCCGAGATGAGTCGAGAGTAGCCGAGGTGAGCCAAGCTTGGCGGGTGTGTGCTTGTGCGGTGCGAGGACAGGAGGGCGTCTGCCCCCACAGGTGCTGGTGTGGTACGCGGAGGGCGCGTCGTCGCGCGACAAGCTGGAGGCTGTCTGGCACGCGTGCGCCGCCCGGCACGCATGCAGTGCGGCGGGCGCGGCGGCGCGGCTGAGCGAGGCGGAGGCGCGCGAGGCGTGGCCCGCTGTGTGGGAGGCGCTGGCGGCGCAGGGGTGGGAGACCAAGGTCCCCTTTCTCGACGGCGACGGAGGCTTCTTGGAGGAGCGACCGGCGGAGCCGAGTGGGCGCTAGAGCCTCCATGTGGAACATAGAGCGCTCAAAGGCCGTTGTGTGGGTGTACGCTCAGTCAGAAAACAGCGCTGTGTCGGTGCACGTGGTGTGTGCCGCACCCCGGGACGTCAGACGTGACGTGCCATTATTGTTCACTTTGGATCTCCCTGATTGTAATGTGTTGGATCAGTTGGATCCCTAGCTCACGCCTCACCCCGCTCACGGCGTGCGCCCCGCAAAGCGCAATCGTGTCGAAAGGGAAACAGGATAGAACCGGGCGCTCCGGCCTCCGGGCTCTCTTGTACATACATTCATACAAAATCTGCCCGCGGGCCAACCTTCAGAAGGTTGATCGGTGGTACTCGAGTATTCACAGATGATGTCAGCTCTCACAGCGTCGCGGGTGTAAATACACTGGCCAAATCGATTACATGCAGCCAGAGTCGTCCATCGACGTCGAGCGTGCACGTTCGCCGCAGCAGCCTGCTTCCTCGTCGGCCGGCAGCCGCGCCTTCTCGTCGCAGCCTCCACCGGGCGGCAGCGGCGGCGACGGCGACGGCGAGTACGAGCTCCGCGCCTTCTCATCACCTCTACACGACGTCGCCGGCGGCAGCCGCGGCGACGGCGACGGCGACGGCGACGGCGACGGCGAATTTGATCTGGCGGCGCAGGTCGCCTCCCTCCTCGTGCCCGTCTGCGCGACGATGGCGATCGTCGCCTACCAGGTCGATGCCGTCGAGCGAAGCATGGACGAGAAGCTTCCCGAAATCCTCCCGTACGTGCTGGACGCAGACTTGCTGTCGATCGCCACGCTTCACCGCACGCGGCGCGTCGCGCGCGTGTGGAAGTCGCAGGCCGAAATCATGCTCGCCGGTCTTCCGTCCGTTGTTGTCCTGGGCGGTGGCTCCTTCGGTTCGGGGTACGCAGCCGTGTCCACATACCGCTCGGTGGAGGCGCTCGATCTTTCCCGCATGGCATTCGTGTCGATGCCTCCGATGAAGTCGGCGTGTACCGATTTCTCCGCGGCAGTGACTAAGGACGCGTCGGGCGCGACAAAGATCGTCGTGCTCGGTGGCGTCCACCGCCGCCCTACACAAGTGGCAACGCCATGGTGCGAGGGCCCCAAGGCGGAGCTCATGAATGGCGTCGAGGCCTTCGACCCGGCCACGGCGGATTGGGAGTGCCTGCCGCCACTCCCCCTGTCCCTCGCCGGCGCGGTCGCTGTGGCCCCCGACGGTGGCCGCGGTGAGCTCCTAGTCTTCGGCGGTGGCCGCAAGAGCAAGCCGGGCGAGACGTTCGTCGTGCCGGAGGGGGCGCCGGCGTTGAACCAGCACCTTCGCACCTACCTCAGCGGTGGCCCGTACGCGATGCTGCAGACGGCGATGACACAGACAGCGCACGACGGCTCGATGGCACTGCCGACGGGCGGCGGCGACCTCAAGTGGCGTCCCTCGGACCGCACCTTTGCCCTCAAGACACGTCCGGGCGAGTCGACACCGAGGTGGGAGGAGCGCGCGCCGTTCCCCCCGTTCGACCGCGAGTGGATGGGCGGCATCACCCAGCCTGGCGTCGTCGGCGTGCGCGGCGGCGCTGTCGTCGCGGTCGGCGACGAGATCGTGCGCGTGGGCGAGTACAACTATTTGTCCATACCAAGCGAGATATTCTCCAACCAGGTGAGCGTGTATCGCGCGGCCTCCGACGAGTGGCTGCCGGTCGAGATCACGACCGCGCCCCCCGCCCACCCCGGCGCCAATGTGCACGGTGCCCGGGGTGTGGTGGCGCTCGGTGCGTCAGACGGCCACTTGGCCGTCCTCGGCGGCAAGACCGACTTCTCAGCGGTGGGGCGCAACGTGACGGCGGTGCGCTCGCTCGTCGTCACGGTGTCGCCAAGCGAGGGCGGCGCGACGGCGCAGTGGGCTGACCGCGCGATGCTGCCGCCGCTGCCGGTTGCCCTCAACGGTTTCGGCTGCTGCGCCGTCGGCCGCACGATCTTCGTCGCCGGCGGTGCGACGCGGGAGATCCACCCGCTGCACCCGATGATACATCGCGACATGCCGTCGGACAGCGCGTTCATGCTCGACATCGACACCAACAAGTGGATCAAGCTACCCACGAGCTTGCGCCTCGAACGCCACGAACCGTGCCTCGTGACCGCGCGCGTGCTCACACCCGCCGTGCGTGCGTTCGGCGAGCGCGCCAAACAGGGCCAAGAGGACGACGCCGTCAAGGAGGACTTCCACCGCGCCGAGATGGGCGCGCAGGTTGGCTGCACCATCGCATGAACGAGCAGGCGAGCTGGAGTGCTGGACGGAGGCAGACTCCATGGAGGCAATCAATTGGGTTATGAAGTTACTTCGTTGGATCTGAAAATTCCTGATATTAACTATGATGTTACGGTACTGTTTATGAGTCAGGGTATTTGAATGTGATATGGGTTTCGCCTCCTTGTGCAGAGTACAGCTGTGCTAAAACATTTGGGGTTGGATATATAGATACAAAAGTTGATCATCAACCAAAACCTTTGTATGAGAAAGACTGATAAAGACACCTGGCAAAATCAGCATTTTATGATTCTTCTACATCTTCGAAGTTTGGGTGTAAGATACCCCATCGAGTAAGAGCACTGCCCCCCTGAGGACAAGTCGGCCGCGATCCCTGTCCCATCGCCTGGGCGAGTGTGTCCTCCGAGCGCACTCGGGCCAAGGCGCGCGAGCGGGCCTCGGTCGCAGCTGAGGCGACATTCATGACATCTCACGATCGTGCATCCTCAGGACTGATAGATAGTATAACAAATCCAAAACTTGAGCTCTACATGTACATATCTGGGCTCCCGCATGATACTCCTAAGTGCCACACTCCATAAGATGCGTGCAGTGTGGTTCTACATCTTGGAAAGTACTCTGTGGATGCCTACGGTTGGTTGTGCTCAAACACCATAGATTCGTAGGTTTGGTACGGAGCGAGGCCCTGCAGCTGCACGCTCTATCGCGCCCCCTCGTGGCGTGTGCAGCACGCCGCCCGCACAGGCACAGAGGTCAGAGCACACAGTGTCAGCCGCATGTGAAAGCTCAGCAATGTGGCGGTCGCGCACACGTCAGCATATGGGGTCGTTATTGCTTATTCTTAAAACTTTTTTCGATTCTGAAATTCGTTTTCGCTCTCCGTCTGTCAAAAGCTCTCCCGCATCTCTCGTCACAGAAGCCAAAGCCGGTGCCTAACCTCATAAGCTCTCTGTCAGTCACCACTGACGCAAAGCCCACACGATAAGCGCAAATCTCTTCGCAGCGCGTCGCACGCGGCGAACGCCCGCTCCTCGACTGAGAGGCTCGCAGCGGCGGCGCGGATCTCGGCCGCAAACGTCAGTGCCGCCGCCCGCGCCGCCTCGGCCGGCGCCGCAGCGGCCGTCCCACCATCGCACATCGCGCCTGGCGCCACGCCGCGCGTCGACGCCTCGAGCTGCGCCACGGCGCGCACGAGACTTCGAATGCAGCAACTCATCGCAGCCACCAAGTCGTTGCAAACCTCCACCCCCGCCGCCGCCTGCCCATCCCCCACCCGCGCCTCCTCTCGGCGCCCCTTTCTCGAGCGCCGTAGCTGCGCCAACGCCTCTCGCACCTCGTCGCGGCAAACGCACGTGGCGGCCAGCAGCTGCGCCGGCGAGTCAGCAGGCTGAGGAGGAGCCGTGGGCAGTGCCGCCCCCTCCTCGCCGCCGCCGCCGTCTCCACCTTGCAGCTCCCGCAGCTCTCGCAGCGCCACCGCAGTCGCCGCCGCGGTTGCCGCCGCCTCGGCGGCACGTCGCTCTGTATTGCGCCGGCGACGGGCCGCGGTGTGACCTTTGGCTGGAGCGACGACGGCGCCGAGATATGGCGTGGTCGTGGTCGTGGCCGTGGCCGTGGTCAGCGGCGGCGGACTGCTGCGGTCTATCACGCCGAAGCGCTTGCGCTGGCTCCGGTGGTAGAGCGGCACGCCCAACCGCTCGAGCTCCTCGCCGGCGGCGGCGTCCATCACGACGACGCGCCTAGGGGCACGAGAGCTCCGACACGGCTCCGAAACGGTTCCGAGGGGCGACGGCGTCCACCACGACGCCCTCACCTCCTCGCAACCCGCACCGCCTGCCGCACCGCCTCCGCGCTGAGCGGCCGATGGTCGGCGAGCGAGCGCAGCCCGGCGTACGCAGGTGCCGCCTGCGGAGTACGCACGTCACATAGTGACAGAGGAGCGGAGAGGGGGCAGAGAGCCGCCCCGCCTTGCTCGGCTCGCGGAACATGTCTCGGAAGTGTCTCGGAGGTGTCTCGGAAGTGTCTTCGCCTTGCTCGGCTCGCGGAACATGACGTCAAAGAAGACGACGTCGGCCGACTCGTCCGGCATGGAGCGCAGGAGCGCCGTGTGGTCACCGAGCAGCACCGAGACGCGACCCAGCGCCTCGTCTGCGCGGGCGTCGCCGAGCGTCGACGGCGACCCGGAAGTGACGGCGTGGAGCAGCGGGATCGACTCCATCGCGACGACGCGACCGCCCGGGCCGACGGCGTGCGCGGCGACGAGAGCGTCGCCCAGCAAGCCCGCCGTCGCGTCGATGACGACCTCGCCTGCACGAAGCTCGCACGCCGCCAGAAGAGAGTCCTGGAAGCCCGCCGCGCCCGCGTTGCGCAGCCGCTTGGCGGCGATGCCGGCGTGCAGGCGCAGCGGTGGCCCGCCGCCAGCGGCGTGTAAGCTCGTCCCCTCTCGCCCGACGGCCAGCAGCGACCCCCCGGCGGGGAGGCGGCCGAGCAGCTTGGCGAGGCTGTCCGCGCCGCCCCGGCGCAAATAGCACGCGTCGAGGCCGCACCGGCGGAGCGAGGTGGCGAGCGCGGCGGCCCGCTCCTGCATGCAGGAGGGTCCGAGGAGGGTCGAGAGGGTCCGAGAGAGGCGGCGAGCGCGCGGCAGAGGGCTCCTCGAACGGCGCCCCGTCGCGGTCCGTGGTGACGTGCACCACGCCCTCGCGCGCTGCCTCTGCCCCGGCGCGTCGAGGCTCCGAGCAAGCTCCGAGGAGGGGCCAAGAGGGCCCTGGCTCCGCGTGTCGATGCGTCGCCGCCTCAACGTCCCGCGGCGGCGGCGGCGGCGGCGGCGGCGGCGGCGGCCGGCTGGCCAGCACGAAGCCATTCTTCTCTGAGAGGACTTCCGCATCGTACCACTCGCGCACCTCCACCTGTGGGACGTGTCGTGGGGGACATGTCGTCGGCATGCCGCGGCCGCGTCATGGCACCGCCACTCGCGCACCTCCGCCGCCGACCCGCTAGAGTCCGCGCAACCGCTCCCGCCCTCGCCCTCGGCGTCGCGGCACGCTGCGCGCACCAGCTCGGCGAGCGTGCTGACGAGGACCTCGTAGTGGGGCCGGTGCAGCTCGCGCGCCTGCCGCTGCACCTCCTTCCCGAGCCACCCCTTGAGGCAGCACGGGGAGAGCACCAGCTCGCGCAGCAGAGGGCCACCGCTGCCAAAGAAGGAGACGAGCCGCGCGCTCAGCGCGCCGCACAAGTGCGTCCCGACCGCGCAGCCCCAGGCAAGCCCGCCGCCGCACTCGCCCGCCACGTAGTGCTGCGCGAGCCGCTCGAGCGCGCCCTCTTGGAAGATGTCGAGCAGGTGGCACCGCACCTGGCAACCGAGATCCCCCGAGGTCCGCCGAGGTCCGCCGAGATCTCGAAAGTCGACGGACGAGGCGGCGCCGCGCCTGCGCCGAGCGGATGCGGCGGTGGAGGTGGGAGAGGTCCATGCCCTGCTCCGCATCGACCTACGGACGTGCGATGGGCATGCGATGCGCGTGTCGCGGACGAGCCGGCCCTCCCTGCGCCTCCGCGGCGCACCATCACGACGGTTGCGCCGGGCAGGGCGGCCGAGAGCAGCAGCGTCGCGATGCCACGCCTACAGGAAGGCTCCGAGAAGGCTCCGAGGATGCCCAGGAGGGGAGGGCAATACCACAATGCCGCGCCCGGCGCAGACGTCGAATATGACGGCTCCACTCCCGCCCTCCTGGCCGTCGGCGGGCAGCCCAACCCTCTGCAACGCGCGCCGCACGAGGCAGACCACCGCGTACGCCTGCGGGGACGTGTGGCACGGACCTGTCGCCGACACGGCACGGACACGGCACGAGGCAGGCCGCCGCCCTCGCCTCTGTCAGCTCCTTGAGCAGCCTCCGCCGCACGCCGCGCCAGAGCTTTGCGCCGCCCTCGTCGCAGAGCAGTGCGCTGAACCACGCCTCCCCCACCAGCCGCTGCAGGTGGCCGTTTCCCGGGTGGCGGCGCGCGATCTCGCCGCGCCAAAACTCGACGTCGGTGTGCCAGCTCGAAGCCTATAGGCAGACTCCGAGAAGGTTCCGAGAAGGTCCCACCCGCAGTCGACGCCGGAGTGATTGCTCGACGCCGGCGCATCGCTGACGCATGGCTCGCACTCCTCGCAGGCCAGCGCCGGCACCATTGCAGGCGGCGCAGCGGGACGCGCCGCCTCCGTGTCGCCGCTCTCAACCAGCTCGTATCCCGTTCCCCACCAGCCGGCGACTTGCTGCAGCAGCACCTCGCGGCTGAGGCTGTGGAAGGCGCAGGCGTCGCACGCGGCGCTCCGCTGCCCCAACATGTGTTCCACCGAGTGGATGCACGTGCCGGAGTTCAGGTGCAGGAGCCGACAGTCCCCGCGGTTGCAACGGGCGGAGCCAGCCTTGAGGCTCGCCCAGCAGATCGCATTACCCGCCGAGCAGGCGCCTGCCGCTGAGACAGCCTGGACGACCGAGCGCTTGGACTTGCGCCTCGCGTCGATGCGGGCCCTCCAAGCGGCGGCGGCCTCGGAGCCGAGCATGGCGGAGAGCTGGTCTCGACTGTCGTTTGCGTGATCTTGGGCTCGTTGTGTTGGCGTGCTCGCTAATGGCTCGCACATCGTCCTTCACCTCACTCACCACCCCACCGTCCGAGCCTGCGTGCATGCAGCGCATGCAGCGCACGCACGCACGCACGCACGCAGCACGCGCACGCGCGTTCACAGCCGCCCGCACAAAAAGAATACGTTGCGTCTTGTTTTCTCTTTTTATTACACTTCCTCCAGCCACCTCCCCATCAAACAAAGTCGTCGTCACCGCAGCAGCTGTCTACCACCTGCGGATTGGAATCCGATGGCGATGTATATCCACAGATCGCTGTGTTGCGCGGACGGGGCTTCGACGAGCCAGTCGACGAGCCAGCTTCGACGAGCCATACACGAGGAGATCAGCTCACGCCGCCTGACAAGGAGCCAAGCAACGGAAGAGGGGTGAGCAAAACGCCGAACCGCCACCTCTCTCCTCCGTCCCTCCCTCCCTGCGGAGCTGCATTCGACGGAGCTCTCCGCTCAGCACCCCGCGGCCCTCCCCCTCTCTCTCCCTTCTCTCCGCCCCTTCCATGCGCCCCTGTTATTCGCAGTGCCTGTGCAAGCCTCCCGCTGCAGCCCGCCCTGCGACTCGCGTCACCCTGCGCCCACCCCGAGGGGAGAGGGGGGCTGGCGCGCCTGCCGCTGCGCGAGAAGCGTCTGGAGCTGCGACACGCGGTGCTTCGTGTGCGTGAAGAGGTGCGGCTTGACCTGGGGAGGAGAAGCGAGGCGGGGGCGGGGCGGCGAGTGGCGCACCTAGTGGCGAGGAGGGAGCGCACGGGGAGGGGGGATGCGCGCCTGCTGCCGCGTCTTGACATTCTTGCGCATCATGAAGAGCTCCTGACCGCACGTGTCGGCGCCACGTCAGAGGGGCGTGTCCTCTGGCTTGGGACCAGAGGGCGCCCGCCATCCCTCCCGAGTGCGAGGAGCAGCACGCGCGCGGCGCGTCCCGGGCGATTCGCAGGCGGGTGAGCGCGCCTTCTTCGCGTTGGAGATCTCCTGCAGCAGCTCCTCCTCGGTCAGGCCCTTGGCGTCGGCAAAGGACGGCAAGGCCATGGAGGGCGACGCGGTCGCACGGACCGCGGCGGGCGGCGCGGAAGCAAGCGAGAGCGCGCCGGGCGCGCGAGCGGGCGCCCTCAGCGCAGCAGCCGGGGATAGCAAGCAGAACAGGGCGAGGAGGAAGGAGCGCATTCGGCGGCGTGGAGACTCGAAGAGGCTTGGCAGTATGCAGTGATAGAGCTCGCGGGCGAGGTGAAAGAAGAATTACCCGCGGAATGGCGACGGCTAGCAACACACCTTCCTGAGGCAAGGAGGAGACGCGGGGAACTGAAAGACTGGGACGACTGGAAACAAGAAGACAGTGAGCCACCACAGGCGTCGTTGGCGCACATACTGAGCGGCAGCTGCGCTGGAAATAAGGAAGAGGCGCGTCACTTCATGCGGAAGCTCGACAAACACAGAGAAAGAAGAGGACGGACATCAGTGATGACGAAACAGAAGCTAGCGCAGAAGAGAGCAGGGCAGACCCGGGGACTGGGGAGCCGGAGCGGACGGCATCGGCCGCCGAGGGAACGTTGGGAAGAGGCACGAGGAGGGCGGCGACCTCAACCGACTATGGAGGACCCGTCACCAGACGACGCAGAGCAGACGACGGTGAGGCGGAGCAGACGCGCAGGGCGAGACGAGGGAGGGAGCAGGATGTTGCGGAGATCAGCAGGAGGATGTACGACGAGATTAGGAGCAGCAGGGACCCGAGGGACCATGTGGAAGACGGCTAGTGCTAGTCCCCCATCGGGAGGACGACCCCGGCTAGTCGCCGACCACACCCACAAAGAACCCTGCACAAAGACCGCAGGGCGGGGACCTGTTCCTTTTTACCCATCTCCTAGTAGAGGTGTCCGTTTTATTTATTTATTTAGGGGTGGGAGAAGGACAGGGTCCCCACCTGCACGAGCAGGATCTTGGAAGGACGATCAGGGACACAGGGGAACGTCGAAGGGGAACGGGAGCGGGGAGCGCATCGCGACACGGAGGGGGGCTGGGCAGGGTTCACCCACACGACAGGGTCCCAGGAATTCCCCTCTCGTATAGGACAGGTTGCACCCGGCGGCACCGGGGGCAGACGCGGGCCTCCTACCTGGTTGCGCTGTCCTAGTTCTCCTGCCTGCTCCCGACAAGGGACAGCGACAGGCTCGCAGCACGGTGGACTCCCTATTCCCTGGCGATCTCTCTCGACTAGCGACCTTCCTCCGGCTTCTCACTGGCAGTCTCTCACTATCACGGGCACACTGACAGCGGCGTGTAAAGAAGGTGGGAAACGCGAAATGAATTTCTTTCAGCTCACAGCATTTTCCTTCCGCCGCGCCCCGCCGCCCGCCTGCGCCTCCGCTGTACACTGGGCTGTACACAGTGATTTTCAGGGCTGTTGGTCACTGGGCTGTACACTGGGCTGTACACTGGGCTGTCTTACGTGACTGCCGCCGTCTCTCACTGAGTCTGCGTGAAGAAGGCCAAGTCGATGGCGGAGGAGGATTTCCCGGCGGAGGAGTGCCCAATATGCATGGGCGCCCTCGTCGACCCATGCCGCACGCGATGCGGGCACATCTTTTGCAGCGAATGCCTCAAGCAGTCCTTCCCGGCAGAGACAGCAGCCGGCAGATGCCCGCTGTGCCGCGGCGCTATCTCGCTCTTCTCGACAGTGTCGATCGCCACAGAATCTGCGCTCCGCCCGCCCGCCGTCTCCACCATCTTTGGCACCACCTTCCTCCAGGGCGGAAGACCTGGCGTCGCCTCGTATCACTTTGAGGTGCCGCCTGTGAGACGCTGCCGAGAGCCTCCCGGCACCCAGAGACTCTTCCCCAATCTGCTCTCGAGGCCGTTCCAAGACGCTTGTGAGGCCACGCTCTTGCTGAGGCGCAGCCACCGAGTTGATTGACGATTGACTGTATTGTTTTGAGGCGCCGGACGACTGCTTCATCTCGTACGAGAGTGCTCCTGCCGCGTGGACGCTCGACGACGGCTCGCGCCCGCCGCCGAGGAAGCCCTTCCTCGGGCCAAGTTACGACGCCGCCTCGCGCACGTTTACGGGCAGCGTCGATTGGAGCGGCGGCACCATCAACGGTGACAAGGCGAGACGGCTGTTCTTCTCCTCCTTCGTGCTTGCTGAGAGTGCCGCGCGGGTTAGGCGGCGACGCGAGGTGGGAGTACCGGCTGGTCTTCTCCGAGTCGATGAACGTCATCGAAGGAGGCGGGGCTCGGGGGTGGCGCGGCGGCGGCGGCGGCGGGAGGCTGCCTCGGACCCCTCTCGGACCCTTCCTCACAGGCGGCTCGTGGTGCTACGGCGAGGACGGCGGCCTGCGCGCCCACCGCACCTTTCCAGACAACCTCGTCTACTGGCGCCGACCCGGCCTCGCCCCCCGAGGCCTTACCCTTCCCTCCACACCTCCAGCTATGAACAGGCGCGCCCTGCCCGCCGCCTCGTCCCCTCGCGGCCTCTCCTTCCTGCAGGGCAGCCGCGTCGGGCTCGCGTCGTACCACTTTGGACCCAGCGGCGACGGCGCCGAGGGCAGCCACATCTCGTACGCCGCTGCGGACCCCTCGTGGCGCCTCGACGACGGCAGCGCGCCGCCGCCGCGCGTTCCTTTCCTCGAGCCGACCTACGACGCGGTGACACGCGCTTGCCGCGGGGCCCACAAGCCCGGCGAATCTCGGCGGATCTTCGGCGGATCTTCGGCGGTCCCGGCTAGGCGACGCGCACTTTCCGCGGGTCCGTCGACTGGTCGCCGACTTCGTTCCACGGCAGAGAAGGGGCTGGAGTGCCCGGCGGGGGGCGTGGACGGCGTCTCCTCACGACGTGGCGTGCGTGAGTAGGCGCGCGGCGGTGTGAGGAGCGATGGGCTTCCGATCTCGGCGCATCTCGGCGCATCGCGCGGCATGTCTCGGCTAGGCGACGAGCGGTGGGAGTACTTGATGACGTTTAGCGAGTCGTTTGACCGGATCGCCGACGGGAGGCGCCGGAGACACCTCCACAGTCGATCCACAGAGCCCACGACATGTCCACGGGACACGTCCACGGCGTGTCCACAGGGTGAACGCTTTTCGGCCCGGGGGCGAGCCCGGCGACACGTGCCGCTTCAGCCTCCCCCCCCGCTCGCTGCTGAGCGCGCTCGGAGACCGGTCGAGCGGGCCGCGCCCCCAGCGCACCACTTGCCTCCGGTCTCCTCACGCCAGCATCTGTGCACAGGTTCAGCGGCATGCTCTTCCGCGGCTCGTTGAGCTCGCTGCTGTACGAGCGGCACGACGAGGTGCGCGTCGAGAGGGAGGAGTGATGAGCTCTCCAAAGACGCAGCGCAGCACAACCTGCGGCCACACTGCCCCAAGGCGCGGGCGGAGATGGAGGCGCTGCTGCGAGCGCGGCGAGCGGTGCGGCGCAGCAGCGAGGCGGCGGAGCAGGCCGCTCGCCTCTTTGCTGGTGCGGCGGAGAGGCGCGCCTCCGAGGTCGTGAGATCCGTTCCCCGTAGCCCTCTGCTGCGGCTAGAACTCGGAGACGCTCGGGCGCCCCGCCGACTGCGGAGCCGCCCTCGTGTTCTCTAGGCGCCTCTCCCGCCGCAGCGAGTTGCGCCTCGCGGCGGCTCTGACACAGCTGCGTGTGGCTGATGGGAGCGCGGGTGGCGGCGCTGGCTTTGGCGGTGGCAGCCGTGGCGGCGTGGCTGGGGAGGCGCAGGCGGAGGGGGGCGGCGGCGAGGAGCAGGCTGACCAGCAGCACTCTCACCAGCTCCAGGAGCAGGCCGAGGGTGCGGTCCAAGAGGGAGCGGATGAGCTGGGCCTGGGGGAGGCCACTCAGAGTTTTTAAGAGACCGGGCGGTCGCAACGTGCTAAGACGTGCAAAAGCAAGTAAGAGCAACGCACCAAACGCACCAACGGAAAACGCCGTTGCCACCGCACGGTTCACTCCGCTATTCAATTCCATTCTCTCTTCTCACTGCGCGGTCATTGACTGCGCGGTCCCCACACGCTCTCCACAGAGGTCTAAGAGCGCGCGACATGCACACGGGCTGGCCATGCGTGGCTGTTGGAGGTCTGCAAGTATCGGCCGAAGCGCGCAGCCCCTGGCCACGAATCGAGCTTCGAGGGCGCGGTCGTCAGCGGGCGCCGATCTTGAAGCAATCTCATCTCACGGCCCCTCAGAGCCCGATCCAGCTGAGCACTCCGCCGCTGCACAAGTCGGCCATCGCGCCGTGCTCCACGGCGTCGGCGGCGTCGCGGCCAAGACCGCGCAGCCGCTGCAGCACGTCGCTCAGCTGCCACGGCACTGCGGCGCCGGCCAGCGACTCGGCCATGTGCGCGTGCGTGTGGCGCAGCGCCTCGGGGAAGTGCATGAGCGTGAGGCCGGCCGTCTGCATCTCGGCCCACAGCTCGCCGAGGGAGCGGAGCAGCTCCGCGTGCAGCAGGTCGAGCAGCGGCGCCTCCGGCCTCAGCTCGGCGGCGAGGCGCAGGAAGCAGCGCAGCGTCGGCGCCGCGCACAGCGGCTGGGACGAGGCGCCGTCCGGCAGCAGCTGCAGGTGCGAGCAGAGCGCCAGAGTCACCGACAGCGAGGCGGCCGCCAGCGGGAAGGGCGCGTGCGAAAACTTGGCCGCCGCCAGCACCTCGGCGCTCCCCCCTCGCTCGACAAAGAAGAGGAGCTGCCTGAGCCCGAGCGCGCCGCAGCCGCGGAGGTCGCGCGCGGGGTCCTCGCACTGGAAGCCGAGCGTCACCCAGCACGGCGAGACGGACCGGAACTCGCCACCAAACCGCTGCCGCTCCCAGATCGAGCGGAGGAGCCGCTCGTGCCGCGACGGCTCGTACTGCTCCGCCGCGTCGTCCCTCAGCTCGCGGAGCAGGCGCTGGTTGCTCGCCTCGCGCTGGTCGTCTGCCGGCCGGGCCACGCGCGGCGCCGGCTTCTTTGAGCGCCACCGCAGGCTCGCCGGCGGGTTGTGAGGGCGGAGCGGGCGGCGGGCCGAGCCAGCCTTCTTCGCGGGCGAGGCGCCGAGCGGCGAGGCGGCGAGCGGAGAGGAGGCGCCGAACGGGACGTACCCCGACCCGGGGCTGGCGAGAGCGAGGGGCTGGTAGGACATTTTCTCCGTCTGGACGCGAGCGAGCGGTTTAGCGCCCCAGCAGGCGGGCTGGGCAGCAGTGCAGAAGGTGCAGAGCAGAAGCAGACCGAGCGGCACAGGCGATTCAAAACGGGCAATTTTTTCTTTTTTCGGGGGCCTTGAGGTTTCTGGCGATGGGTCCCGACCTCGGCGTATGAAAGAATCCTCAAAAAGAAGGTGCCTACTCTGTCGGGAGGTGTGGCAAAGACCAAGACGCCACTAAAGTAGCTCCGCGATGCCGTTCGAGGATCCTGCTTCAAGACTCCCTGACGCGCAAGAGCCCGAACCCTGGAGCCGGTTCGCGCGAACGACCACAAGCCACTGGACAAGCCACTGGCCCACTGCCACATTGGAGCTCGCTTGCCGCCCAAAGGAGGGGCCTGCGGCAGCAGGCTCGCCGGCGCCGCCGGCGCCGCCGGCGCCGCCGGCGCCGCCGACGCCCTCGCCCGCCGCGGCCGACGGCGCCTGCGCCCGCGCCAAACGGCTCTGCCTCAAGCACTTTCTAGTCCTCGGCCTGCTCCTCGCGATCGTGGCCGGCGTGACGGTCCCCGCCGCGGGCTAGGCGGTCGCCTCGTGGAAGGCGTGCAGCGGCCTGCTCGGCTGCGTCGGCGTCGTGCAGACCGTCTGCGTCGTCGTCATCTTCTTCATCTCCGGCCTGACGCTCAAGACGGACGAGGTGAAGCGCGCGCTCACCTCGTGGCCGGACGCGCTCTTTGGCGTGGTCTCCATCCTCCTCATCACGCCGCTGCTCGCGCTGCTCCCCACCCGGCTGCGCTTCCTGCCGGCCGAGTTCCAGGTCGGCTTCCTTCTCTTCTGCTCCATGCCGACCACCATCAACTCGGGCGTCGCCCTCGTCGGCACCGGCCGCGGCAACGTCGCGATGGCGCTGCTGCTGACGCTCGCGTCGAACCTGCTCGGCGTCTTCACGGTGCCCTTCTCGCTCTCGCTGCTGCTGCAGGTCTCGGACGTGCGGATCGACGCCTCGCCGCTGCTCGCCAAGCTGATGATGATGATCCTGCTGCCGCTGCTCCTCGGCAAGGCTGCGCGAGACTGGTCGCCGCGCCTGCGCGAGCGGCTCAAGCAGAGGAAGCAGCTCGTGTCCAACGGCTCGTCGCTGCTGCTCTGCCTGATCCCGTGGATGAAGCTGTCGCAGAGCGAGGCGGCGCTGCGCCCGCTCCCCCGCCCGCGGCGAGAGGCACGCGCGTGAAGACGCGAGGGCGTGGGAAGACAGGCGGCGCTGCGCTCGCTCTCCGGCTCGGAGTGCGCCGCGCTCTTCGCGTGCGGCGCCGGCGTGCACGCGGTCTACCTCGCCTTCAACTTCGGCGCCGCGCACTGCCTGCTCGGCACGCCGCTCGCCATCAAGAAGGCGCGAGATCGCCCCGAGACTATCCGAGATCGCCACTCTCCCTGTCAAGAAGGCGTCGCATCGCGATCCTGAACAGGCGATCGTGATCATGGGCTCGCAAAAGACGCTGCCGATGGCGATGACGGTCCTCTCCTTTTTCCCGCCCTCCTTGGGCGAGCCCGGTCTAATTGCGCTGCCCTGCATCGTCTCGCACTTGCTGCAGATCTTCGCAGACGCCTTCCTCGTCGCCAGGCAGCCGAGATGCCGCCGAGATGCCGCTGAGATTGAGATCGCAGACCGTCGTACACGGCTCCCTCGTCGCGAAGCGGTCGGCCACCGCCCCAGGCCGTGACAGAGGCGGAGCGTGCCAGGATTGCTGTAGGTGGGCCGCCGCCACCGAGGCCACGCCGCCGGTGGCGCTGCTGCGCAGCCGCGGCCGCGCGCGCTGCCGCCCGTGCCGGCGGCGGGCGGAGGCGCTTATGGAGGAGCGGCCTACACTGGGGACCGTGCATGCCTCCACCGCGGGCAGCGCGGGGGCGCAGGGCGGCGCGCTCCCGCGGGCGGCGGGCGCGCTTGCCGGGGATGGGGGGCACGAGCAAGCGCCTGTGTGATTGTGAGCGCAGCGCAGTGAAACTAAAAAATCGATTGGTCGTGATTCATATTACTTTTTAAAGCCGTACGTCGGTAAACATACGCACATATTTTACAGCAGCTTGCGCTCTCTGTCCTCTCTGTCCTGAACTCCTGTCTGGTGTGTCTCCTCTGAGAGCCGCCGTGCGCCGAGCTGCGAGCACGGAGCAGCCCGCGTTGTGTGAGCGTTGTCACCGAGCCGTTTAGTCGTCCCCTGTCCATAAGTCGACGGCGTATTTAAAAAATGCAGCTGCAGGGCGAGCGCTAGGGCGCAATCAAACACCCCGGAGCAGCATGTCCCGCCGCGGCCTCTTCCCACGCGACCTCACCCCGCCGGCGGCTCGCGCCGGCGCTTCCTCGCCGGCTGCTGCTCGCCAAAGCCGCGCCGCGCGAGCCAAGTGGCGCACCTGTCCGTCCACCCGCCGCTCAGCCCGAAGCCGTGCTCCGACAGGTCGCGGTGCACGTAGACGTGGGGCACCTTCTCGCGGGCGAGCAGCCGGCGGTACGGGTCGGTGTGCTCGGCGGACGGCGCGATCGTGTCGGTGGTGGATGCGACGAGGAAGGTTGGCGGGGCGCCAAACGGCGCGTCGCCTGCGCCGAGCAGGTTGTCGGTCCAGCCCTGCAGCGACGCGGCGCGCTTGTGCATGCAGAGCGCATCCTCGTCCTCGACGATGTCCCCGTTTGCGGCGCGCGTGAACCCGGACTCGTACGGGTCCGCCCACGGCCGCGGGTTGATGGAGGGGTAGGCGAGCACGGCTGCGTCGAGCGGCTGCGCGAGGCCCCTCGCAGCGGCGCGCGCGGCCAGCGCCGCCACCAAGTGGCCTCCGGCGGAGAAGCCGACCGCAGCCACCGGCCCCGGCCGCCGCCTCCTCGCCACCTCTGCCGCCGCCTCAAGGTCGTCAAGCGCCTCCTCGAGGCCAAACGCAGGCAGCGTGCGGTACCGCAGCACCAGCGCGGCGATGCCCATCCCCTCGAGCCAGCGCACCACCGGCCACGCCTCGTGCGAAGCGAGGAACTCGTAGTTGCCTCCCGGCACCACTATCACCGTCCCCGGGCCGGGCAGCTCGAACGACGGCGGCAGCAGCGCCGCTGGCAGCCGCGGGCCATGGAAGAGCGCGTCGTGCCAGAGCGCCGGGAGGCGCGGGCGCCCGTTGCAGGCTCCGCACACGAGGTAGAGCGAGTCCTCCTCGTCGAAGCAGCGGCGGCAAAACAGCGCCTGCGAGCGGCGCGGAAGCGGCGCCTCGCATTCGTTGCACTCGGGCTGGCCGTCGATCACCGCGCCCGCAAAGAGGCGATTCGTGACGGGTTGCCAGCGGAGGCGGTGGCCGTCGCCACAAAGGCGCACGGAGCCGCGCTCGGCCGTCTGCAGCACCCAGCACGGCAACTTTTTCCACTCGCGGCGCGGAAAGAAGGGGCGGCCGGCGCCGCGATGCGAGAGGAGCGCGCCTGATTGGTCGACGCGGAGGACCTTGATGTGGCCGTGGCGGGAGGAGGAGCTGCTGGAGCCCGAGGCGGGCATTGCGCACGGCCGCGGGAAACGTGCGCGCAAGAAGCGTCCCAAGAGAGTCTACCCGCCCCCCCCCGGGCCGAAGAGCCAGGCAGCCAGCCCTATCCGCGCGGCGATGCGCCCTGCCCCGTCGCTTTTGCAAAATCCTGCAAAGGTGGGGACGTGTCTGTCCTCGACCCAGCCCTAGCTTGGGATGTCCATTTATTTCTCGCTCGTGCGTCCTTGGAACTTGGCTAACCTCCTTTCACCTCCTTCCTGCTCTCCTATGCCACGTGGCTGTGTGCGTTTGGGTTTCTATGTTTGCGATTTGGATTTTGGATTTTCTGCTGCACTTTGTTTATTTATTTATACGAAGAGAACATTTGAGCGGCTCCGGAGTTCACACTCGTGTCAAACCCTCACCAACTCGCCCGTAGCCCTTTCTCGGGGCCGCGCTTGCGACGCGCCGTCGTTTTATGGTAATTATCGTTACGTTCTTTCTCTCAATGATTATCAATGGACAATGCCCCAGACTTGAGCACTTGAGCACTTGATAGGGTCGATTCCGCATGGTACGGGACCCCTCCGATCGTCTCGCCCACCCTCGCCCCAGACTGACTGTGTGACCACGTTCAAGACCTATCACTGTCGTCACCCCGGGGTGTGCCGGCTCTTTTGCCACGCGCCAAAGGCCTGCCCGACGTGGCGCTTCACGCTGACCTTCACCTGCTCGCGCGCCGCGGCCTCGTCGGCAACGGCATCGCCGGTGGCGAGATCGGGGTCGGAGAGGACTTCGGCGCATAGCCGCTCGGCGAGCTTGTTCAGCGCCTGCTTGCCCTCGGCCTCGAAGGTCACCTCCAGGGCGTCGAACTTGGTCAGGGCGGACGCGATCGCCTGCGCGACAGCCTCTGTGTCGACGGCCGCTTGCCTCGCCTCCTTCTTTTGCTTCGTGGCCGCGGGCGCACGCGCGCTGTCGACGTGCGTCGAGACGGCGTGGAGGTTGCCAATCATCTCGTGGATCGACTGATCGATGAGGACCGCCTTGCCGCCGGCGCCGTTGGCGAACGCCTCGAGAAGCTCGGTCAGCTCGGAGACTGCGGCCGGCTGCGGCTCGCGTGAGATCTTCCACTTGTACGCGGAGCTCCTGCCGGCCTTCTGGATGCTGAGCACGAGCCCCTCGCCGTGCTCGCCAGTCATCCATGCGCGCTGGCTCGAAATCGCTTCACAGAGCGAACCAAAGGCCACTGTCGCAATGACAGGCACTCGGTGGCGCCTGAGCACCTCGCCAAAGGCCTCGTTGTTGCCAATTCGAACAGCGCGGTCGCCACTGAGAGTGCACGCGAGTCCCGACGCAGACGCGGCTGTCGCGTAGGCAGCCGCGACCTCCTCGCTCGCAAACTCGAGCACCGCGCCAAACGCCTGCCAGGACTTCGCCAGGCCGTTTGCCTTGTAGTTGAAGAGCCCGACGTTGCACATGAGCTCGCCGTAGATCGCGGCACGCACGGGCTCAGTGCCAGTCTCGCCGGTGGCGAGCGAAACGAGCTCGCCGATGGCGGCGTCGACGTCCACCTCACGCAGGCTGGTGAGGTCGCACCTCTGGTAGCTGGTGGCTGTCTGCTCAATCGTGAGGCGACGGCCGAGCAGTGTGCCGCATCGCAGCTTGCCGACGTTGGTACCGTCGAGCTTCTCGGAAGCAGCCACAGGGCACAGCGTGCAAAGACGGTGGAGGGATTGCCGATACCCGCCCTTAAGCGTAACCTTGCCGTCGAGCGGCGAAGGTCGCCCTCGGCGGCGCCGCTGGATGACAGTCGCGGCAAGCTCGGCGACTTGGAAGAAGCGGGCGATCTTGGAGCACACCGCCCTGGGAAGCTGCTCGATGGAGGGCCAGGTGAGCGTGTTGCGCTCCTCAGCCATCGTGGCGATGGAGGGTCAGGGTGTTTTAGGTTCGTTGCCTGGATCGTTGCCTTGGACGTGTCCTGGCCGGGTACCTAACGGGGAGGACAAAAGAGCAGAACTCGAGCAGATTGTCCGCCACAAGCCACTGGGGCAGACCAGTTAGAAAGGCTTTATCTAGCTGAGCGGCCACCTCTCAGACAGGAAGTTAACAGCAAAACATCCCCCGTCTTCTTCGAACGGAGAGATGCGGGTTCGAATCCCGCCACCGGTGGATGCTGGCTCCCCGGTGTAGTTTAATGGAAAAACACTTGAAAAAGCTTCCTGTTTTATCTCCCCGCCCTCTCCTTTTTCTTCTGGGTGTTCTGGAACCAATTACGAAAATAGAGATTACGCGGGAAACCTATACAAGGCCCTAACCCCCTTACGGCTGCACTCGCGTACGCCGTACGACGTCTGTGGGCATTTCAACCCACGAGCGGGCTGGTGTCCCGCGCTTGGCCCGGGAGCGCGTCGCGCACATTCTTGAGGCTGCCGTGCGGGCTGGGCGGCAAGCTGCGCCACGCCAGCTCGGCGGTCATCGCGTCGACCAGCTCGCGGACCCTCTTCGCCCCGGTGAGGCGGCGCGTGTCCTGCACCTCGAGGGCGAGCCGCCGCTGCAGCTCGGCAACCAGCTCGTGCCGCGCGAACTCGCCGTGCGACGCGAGCAGCAAGTCCGCCTCGAGCTCCATCTCGAGCTCGATGGCGTCCGAGAGGAAGCCAGTCTTCTCGGCGAGCACCTCCAGCACCACCGCCCGCGCCTCCTCGTCGCCGAACGCCACCGTCCGCCCGCTCGCCCGCCGCTCGAGCAGCCGCTCGCAGGAGGGCGGGCGCGCCGGCGGCCGCTGCTGCGCCGCCTTGACCGCCGCATCCGCCATTGCCGCCTCTCCTGCCGGTGCCGCCGACTGCTCCCGCTCCACCGCCCCCTTGTCCACCGCCCCCTCGCCCACCCGCTCCGCCCGGTCGCCCCCCCCCTCCGCAAGCAGCGCCGCGAGCGCCCTCAGTGCCGCCTCCGCCTTGTCCGCCCGCGCCGTCGCCTCCGCCGCCCTCCGCCGGTGCTCCTCCGCCAGCGAAGCCTCGCGCGCCAGCCACGCGGCGCGCAACCGCTCGCCCTCCTCCCGCTCCTCGCGCCGCGCCGCCGCCGCCGCCCGCGTCTCCGCCTCGAGCGCCGCGACGGCGCCCAGCACCCTCCCGAGCGACGCAGCCTCGCCGCCCGCGGCAGGGGCTGAGCTCGGCGCCGCCGCCGGAGCGGCCGCCGCAGACGCCGTCGGCGGTGCGGGCGGCAAGGCAAACTCGCCCGCCGGCTTGCTGGCAGCGCTGCCGGCCGGCGGCTCGGCCGCCTTCGCCGTTGGGCTCGCCGTCGCCGATGCGGGGCGGAGCTTGCAGAAGAGAGACGCGGCCTCGTCTGGCGAGCCAAAGTAGGTCTCGAGCTGCGACTGGGCCCTCGCGAGCACCGAGCGCGGCTCAGACGCGCCCGCGGGGGCCGCCGGCGCCGGCCTGGGAGGGCCTGTCAGCGGACTCGCAAACTGCGGGTGCGGCGGCGCGGCGGGCGGGACGCCTCCGTGCGAGCCGCCCAGCGCCGCCTGCCGGCTCTGCTCGAAGAGGTCGCGGTAGACGCCGGCCTGGGCTCGCTCGGCGACAAGCTGCATCTGCTTCGCGTTGAGGTTCGCGTTGAGCACGTCGATCTCTCGCTGGTAGCGCCGCCTCTCCTTTTCCGTCGCGCTCCGGATCTGGCGGTCGAACTGCAGCCGCTCGGTCTGTTCGCGGACGGCGATCTGCTGGAAGAGCTGGTCGATCATGGTGACCGTCCGGTTGCGCTTGAGCGTCATGATGGCGAACGTCGCGAGCAGGCACGGCGCCCAGTACTGCACGTTGTTTGCGATGCGGCTCACCACGGTGTGCGCGCCGTCGATGGCCTGCTCGGGCGCCATCATAAAGAGGAAGAGTTGCATCGCGGCGGACATCAGGCCGAGCTGCCAGAGGGAGATGTACCGCGTCTGCAGCATCCGCACCGCCTGCTGGATCTTCTCCGCGTTCTGCGAGACGGGCCCGACCGGAGAGAAGACTTGGGACGGGCCGTACTCGTGGATCGATTTCGGCACCGGCCGGGTGTCCTCGCTGGCATCGCCAGACTCCTGCGGCTCCCGGCTTGGCGATGATGTGTGCTGCTCGGCGCTGCTGCTCGGGGCGGCCTGCTGCTCGCTCCGGGCCATCCGCTCTCTGCCTTGGCCGCCAATAAAGGGGAAAGGGTGCTGGGCGGGCCTGCCGGGCCAGGGCTCGTCAGAAGTGGAGCCGCTGTCCGAGCAGGGAGCGGGCGCCGCTCTGCGACCGCTCATTGCCGTAGAGTGGGTCGAACTCGGCCGCCTCGAGGGGGCCCTTCCCGACGGACTCGAGCTCGTCGAGGCGCTCCTGGCCGAAGGCGAGTATGGACCCCGCCTGCAGGCGCGCCGCTCGCACCTGCTCGTGCACGAGCCGCAGCGCCCTGCGGGAATCTCCGGGATCATCTCGCTCGTCGCCGATCGCGTCTTCGAGCCGCTCGAGGTGCGCGCACAAGTCGTACATGTACGAGAGGGAGGGAAGGAGGGTGCACACCTCCCGTTGGTTTGCGGCCCCGAGCTTGCGGTGCAGCTCTGCGTGCACGGTGTCGCCCGCCGCCGCTGGCGAGTAGTGCGAGGTCCGCTGCTGCAGTCCCCGCTTCCGCTCGAAGGGGTTGTCGCTGTCGTAGTCGCAGGCGAGCACGTGTCCGCCGAACAGCTCGCCGACAGCGTCGTCGCGACCGACGCCGCCGCCGAGGCGGGGGGGGCCGCGGTGACCACCGCCGCCCACGTCGTCCTCCGACGAGTCGGCGTCGGAGTCTGGGGGGGTGGGAGGGTCGGGGCGCACCCGCTCGCGGTCCTTGGCCGCCTTGCCGCCCGCTCCGCCGCCGTCGCCGCCGCCGCCGCCGCCGCCCGGTGGGGGGTCTCCCCCGTCGGGCTGTGCGACGGGCCGGGCGGCTTGGGCCTCGAGCTGCTCGAGCCGCTTGCGAAGCACTCGCAGCTCCTCGGCCGAGTCCACGGGAGCGGGAGGCGCGGCTGGGGCCCCGTCGGTGCCCCCGCCAGCCCCCGAGGGGGGGGGCTCCTGCCCAGAGCCAGCTTTGGCCTCTGCGGGCCGTTCGTCTTGGTCAGCGTCGGAAGCGCGCTTCGGCGCGGATTTGCCCATATCGTTGGGCGCACGGAGGGAAGGAGAGGTGGGCTCCTGCCCGAGAAGGTCGCGGGACCTGCGCAGAGCTCGCTCTGCGTGATGCCGCTCGAGCTTGGGCGTGCACGCAAGGGCCACGCGCAAGCAAGAGCAAACAACTGGGAAGTTCACAGCTGAGCTTACCCAGAGAACGCCGTTCTCACCCAGAAGCAAGTTGTCTCCCTGCAGTAACGTCCTCCCATCCCTCCCTTGGGTTGTCTGTTTTCTTTCTTTCTTTCTTTAACGGATTTTGGCCCATGCGCATGCTCTTCCTCGTGCTCGCCGCGCGCTCGGGAGCCGGAGTGGCGGGGTCGGAGCTGCTGCAACGGCGCGAGTGGCCGCGAGGGGTCGTGCTGGGGCTCTCCAGAGGGCGAGACCACTACGCGGTGCTCGCGGCGGCGCACGGGGCAGCTTCAGCTGAAACAGAGCCTCAGCAGCGCCTTCAGGCAGTGCAGCACAACGCCAGTGGCCTCTCTGGAGCTATGCGGCGGCTGGCGGGCCTGTGCGATGGCGCCGATCCGTGGGCTCGGGACGCGCAGTCGGCTCGCGTGCCGGTTGCCGAGTCAGCCTGGCTGGCGAGAAGCGCCAAGGCCTTCCCTGCATTCTGGGCGCTGCCCAGAAGTGTGCAGTACCTTTGCTGCGCCGACGGGCGGCCTCGATGCGGATTGCCGCGAGTGGCGTGGGAGCCTCCAGTGGAGCGGTCGTTGGTCAACACCGCGGCGCGCGCGCGCCGCGGGTGCTGCACAACAAGCGGAGTGCATGGGCGGGCGCTCGATCGCTTTCCGGCGCCCAACTTTGACTATCGATTGCCGCCGGTTATTATAACCGGTGGGAGATCGTTCCTGCAGACGGAGGGATTCAACGCGGCGATAACTGCCCGAGACGTCCCTAACCTTTATTTATTTCTGCCCTGCTTCAGGAACCGGGGGCCGTCTTCCTCAACCAACCAAACCTCATTACCGACTGCCGGTCGTTGGGGACACGTGACTCCTGCAAAGGGCAGTGTCTCCACCCGGGAGTCGGACATTCCAAACCCCCCCCTGCCCCCTCTCTCTCCCCCCCCCATCCTAGCCCTCTTTCTCTCTCCTCCTCTTTCTCCCTCTCCTTCTCCCTCATTCCCCCCCCCTCCCCCCTCTCCATCTCTGCCGCCCCCGTGCCAACCCCCGCCGCCGCCTCGCCTGCCTCCGCCTCCTCCGCCACCCCATCTCCCGCTCCCCCCCCCGCCGCCGTTACCCCCCCCACCCCCTCCTTCGCCGTTACCGCCGCTACCTCATCCGTGGCCGCCGACACCAACCCCCCCGCCTCCTCCGCCGCCTCCCTCTCCACAGCCGTCGCCGCCTGGTGTTTACTAGCTCCGAGTAGAGGGGGCGTTCCGCCGCTAGGGGACACCCAAAGCGCAGAACTAACCCTCGGAGACCCGTGTTTACTTTAAGGCCCTTGCCCTGCGAATGCGCACCCCCCCTAGCTAGGGGTCAGGGCTCTCTAGCCCGTAGCCCGATCCCGATCATCCGGCCCGCTGGATGCGCTTCTCAGCTCACCGGCCCTGGATGTGAGGTTACCGACTGCACTCCAAGTGCTCCAAGTGCAAGTGCTCCAAGTGCTCCAAGCAACGCGCCTCGGCGGAGCTGGGAATAGGACCGCCGCAAGCGGCGTGGCGTGGAGCGGTTGAGCATCCCTCCGGGGGCCCCTCTGCGCCGGGGAGGCGTTGTTGGAGGCTAGGACGCAAGCGTCCGTCGCCCTTTTCAAACTCGGGGCCCACTCCGCTAGCTACGCTCCGACCCGAATTTGGAGGGCCTGAAAAGTTTAAGGTGTTGCTGCGCAAAAGGGGTCGGACACAGGGCGCAGCTCATGCTAAGAGCTAGAAGGGGAGCTAGAGAGAGAACGACTACCCTGTCCCGTTATTGCGTACACCAACACCACAAAAGCTCTCTCTCTCCTGTCCTCACTCAGGGGGGTCACAACTACCGAGTCCCGCGACTAGCTGCCACGTGCGACCGAGAGCGGATCTCCTCCTGCTCCGCAAGGAGGGTGGCCAAGGCTAAAGTCTTGCCGGAGCCGCCGGGCGCGTTGAGACGACTTGCTTGGAGAAGGTCGTGCTTTGACTTGTACTTTTCTTGTAGAGATGCTCGAGGGGGTGCTTTGTGGGGCGGTGCGGTCCCCAACGGCAATCAAGAAACAGAGGGCAGTCTCTTGCATGAGAAGCGCCGCCGCGGAACTGTATACATGTGTATAATGGCCGCCAACCGCCTCAGCGCCCGCCTCGCAAGCGCAAACCTCTCGCCAGAACAGCTGTGCGCCTTCATCGGCGAGCTGGCGCCCCTCCTGGGTGACGCCGCGCTGCGCGTGGCGGAGGCTCACGCCGCACGGCTCGTGCAGCAGCCCGAGTGGGTGCTCTCCGAGGTCCTCCTGACCTCCTCTCGCCGGACCTCGTCCCGCACATCCTCGCCCAGCTGCCGACCAAGGCGCACGCCGCCAAGGGGACGTGCCGCGCGTGGCGCCGCGGCTGGAAGCAGACGCTGAAGAAGCGCGAGAGGCCACGCCTGCTCGTGATCGGCGGCCTCGGCAACGCTGGACGCCTCATCAGCTCGCTGGAGCGGTACGACCCGTCAACGAATGTGTGGGAGGAGGAAGCTGTGGCGCCGATGCCGACGGCGCGGGGGAATGCAGGCACGGCGCTGTTCGATGGCAAGCTTTACGCCGCGGGCGGCAAGGTAAACGACGAAGGTCACGGAGCAACCTCCAACCTGGTGGAGCGGTACGACCTTGCGACGAAAGCATGGGAAGCGGTGGCGCCGACGGTGACACCACACGAGGGTCACGACATGGCGGTGCTCGATGGCAAGCTGTACGCTGTGGGCGGCAGCAACGGCGACGGCGGCAACAGCTCGGTGGAGCGGTACGATCCGGCTGCCAACGCGTGGCAAGCGGTGGCGCCGATGGGGGAGAAACGGAGCAGGTCCGCCGCGGTGGCGCTCGACGGCAAGCTGTACGCTGTGGGTGGCTGCAACAACGGCGGTGGCCACCTCAGCTCGGTGGAGCCGTACGACCCTGCGTTGGATGCGTGGGAGGCGGTGGCGCCGATGGCGTCGGCGAGGAGCGCTGCCGGCGTGGCGGTGCTCGACGGCAAGCTGTATGCTGTGGGAGGCTTCAACGGCGGCCAGATCAGCTCGTTGGTTGAGCGGTACGATCCGGCGACGAACGCGTGGGAGGAGGTGGCGCCGATGGCGGAGGTGCGGTGTGCTCACGCCGCGGCTGTGCTCGACGGCAAGCTGTACGCGGTGGGCGCATTGGGTCCCAATGCGGACCTCAGCTCGGTGGAGCGGTACGACCCGGCAGTGGGCGCGTGGCAGGCGGGGTGGCACCGATGGCGACGGCGCGGGCCTTTGCTGTCGCGCTCCTGATGTAGAGTGAGAGTCTGGGAATGGAGGAAGGTCAGGTTTGGATGCAAGATGCAGGTGCAGAATGCAAAAACTCGCCCAATATAGGAAGGAAAGGCCAAAAAAAGAGTCGTGCGGAATGCACAATGCAGGTGCGGAATACAGAATCCCATCCAAGAGTGCACTGTGTGTGCAGAGAGGGTCTGTATGGTGCAGATGCTCTCTACACAGACTGCAACCTGCATGCAACATGTCTCGTTGCTCCTCCACAGGACACAGCTCGATTGGGACCTTTCGTCCAGCTCCAGGAACGAGTCGCGGTTTTCCCTCTCCCTCTAAAACTAAACCATCCCGCCCAAAGAATTACCCATATAATTAGTCCTAGCATGCCACCCTCGCTCACGTTTCACACGACTCCCCTGACCCCTCTTATAATGCACAAGCCGAACACGGAACACAAGTCACAATCGCGCACACCGCCACGGCACCGCCACGGGCGCCCGGAGGTCCGCTTTCGAGTGCGTCAACACAATTGGCCGCGGAGCCCTCTCCTCTCATGTATGCTTGGTCTCATCGGAACCGGCCGCGTGGGCGAGCGTCATGAATTGTCAACAAAGGCTTCCAAAACCCGGAGCGCATCGATATCAGGAGTTGGCATCTTCTCTCCGTGACCGTCATGATAGAATTAGTCAACAAAGCTCCAGCCCCGGAGCTCATGGATAATCAACTGCAATGGAGAGCGCTTTCAGTACATGGGCACAGCATCTCGCGTCGCCCCTTTGAGCCGCGCTTGAGATCAGGCAAGAAAGCGGGTCTCTGGTCTCACGCAGAGGAGACGACCACCTTCTCCACGGGCGTGCCCATGGGGATCGATGGCTCATCCGCCCGGCGCTTCTTCTTGTAGTAAACGTAGCCACCCCCGAGGGCAGCCACGACGGCCACCCCTGCCGCCGCCGCTGCAATGGCGACCACAGGGAAGCCATCGCTCTCAGTTGGCTTCGGGTCTCCTTTCACCTCGACCACAACGGTACTTACGACGGCTGAGCCCACCGCAGCAAGGACAGGTCCCATCTGCGCTTCAAAATCTGCCTCGGAGTACGAGGCGAGACTGCTTTGCACCGAGTTGGCTTCCGACTCGGTGGCAACCGGGAACTTTGCAACGATGATGACGCTTCCAGCGGTGACTTCGAGGGTCGAATCGAGAGGAACGAAGCTGAGGCCGGCCAGCTGGGCAAGCTTTGCGAGGATGGTCCTCTTGGTGGCCTCGCCAAAGTTGCTCACCTCGCCGCTCGCGGTGAAAGAGGCGACGACTCGGAACGAGCCTTGCTCTCCCGACTGTGGCGGCGACGGTGAGGGCGGAGAACGGCCGTGGCAAACCTGTTCGTCGGTTTTGTCGCAGATCCAGTCTCTGAAAGAGGCCACCCGTGTGTAGACGCCGGGAAAGCCGGCGTCACCACAGCCAATGCCAAAGCTGACAACGCCAACTAGCGTCTCGGTCCCATCGACGTCAACCCGAAAGAGAGGACCGCCGGAGTCGCCTTGGCACGAATCTTTGCCAACCTCGCCAGCGCACAGCATCGTCTCGACGATTGCTCCGTCGTAAGCCGTCGAGCACTCAGTGTTGCTCACGGTGGGGACTTGCACATCGAGGGGTACGCCGTCAGCTCCGAAATCCGATCCTCCAGACTCGGTTGTGCCCCAGCCTGTAGCTGTGAGAAGTGTTCCAACTGGCCACTCTGCGCCCGGCGAATCCAGTGCATCGATCGGGGCGTAAGAGGTGGTCTCTGCCAGCTTGATCAAGTAGATATCGTTTTCCATGGTTGCACTGTTGTACCCGAGGTGGGCGATGGTCCTGGCCACGTCAATCGCGTGGATGCACTCGATATTCGGGTCGTAGTCATAGCCAGTGGTGATGTCGTGCGCGCCAACATACACTCGCTCGGGCGGGCCGAGCTCGTTGCCGTTGCTGTCAGTGCCCACGAAGCAGTGGGCGGCGGTCAGTACCCAACCGGGCGCGATCAGAGTGCCGCCACACCCGCTGTCATATGTAACGAGGAACTCATGCTCACGGGGCTCAATCTCGTCTCCACCAACGATACGGCTGCCCAACGACGATCCGTGCTGATTCCGGCAAGGGCCCGCGAGGCCTGCAGGCGGAGCCGGAGATGGCGGCGCGAGGCCTGCAGGCGGAGCCGGAGATGGCGGTGAAGGTGAAGGGCAATCCCATCCGTCGTAGAGGCAAGCTGCGTTGTTGCACACGGCGTCGCACACGCCGTCGGCCAGGTAGTTTGACGGGCAGTCCGAAAAGCAGCCAGAAGGGCGAGAGTTGGTGCACTGACCTTCGTAGCCGTAATACTTCACGCAGTAATCACTGCTGGATGTGAAGCCGGGGTCCGAGACGCCGTAGCAGTACTCGTTCCCAAACGTGTTCGTGCGGCAGTACCGCATCGCACTCGGGCAAAAACAGAGCGAGGATACCATCCTATTGGCGGGAGTAGTCTCGTTGGCCGGCGCTGCCGACGTTCGGTACAGCGCGATCATGATCAGAAGGCAAGCCCGCATATGTTCCTGTGCCGTGCGTTGAGCGCGACGATGAGCGAGAGTTCGGCACGAGAGTGGTTGCAGTGCTGCTGTAACGCGTGCGGCTCGCGGGGCGGGGAGGCTGACAAGAGCGGAGCGAAGTGCTCAAGCAACTGGAGCCGCCATTGGAGCTCATCGCCGCGACACGCCCTTCGCTTGATTTTTGCTTCGACACTTCTCGCTCCTCTCTGGTCCACCTCCCCGCCCCGCCCCGCGACCCACCCGCGCCCCGCGACCCACCCGCGCCATGCAGCCGCCTGCGTGCTGCTCGCACCCCAGCACGCTCCTCCCCACCCACGTGCCACGATCACCTGGTGAACGGAACACGAGAACAGAAATCAGAATGTGTGATTTTTGGGACACCTCTCTAGCTCTATACGAGGAGATATGGGTAAAAAGGAACAGGATACAGGTCCCCAACAAAGTCAAACATCAAACAAGAGGCAACGGGATGAAAAAGAATTTTGGCCAAAAAGTATTTTACCCGCGCCCCGCGGCGCACTGGCACTAATTCGCTATCCCTACTCCCCCGGATCCCGGTACAGCGTGCCCTGCTCGGCCATGCGGCGCACCCAATCGTCCCAGCTCTCCTGAGGCACCGTCGTCAGCTCGCCCTTGGCCGGATCGACGCAGCACATGAGCACGCGCACGCGCGCCACCTCGGCGCCGTCGGCGCGCAGCAGGCGCTGCTGGAAGTCGAAGCAGCGCCGCCCCGCGTACTCGCGCAGCAGCGTCACCTCGCAGCCGACCGTGCCGCCCGCCTCGAGGAGCGCGTCGGGCGCGAGGACCAGCTCGTCGATCTGCCCCACGACGAGCGCGAGCCCGCGGTCGAGGAAGGCCTATCGGACGCGTCGCAGACACGTCGCGGACGGGTCACCGCAGGCGGAGCCAGAGAGAGAGAGAGAGAGAGAGGGAGAGGGAGGGAGGGAGAGAGAGAAGAGAGAGGGGGGGGGAGGGAGGGTGCCGGCCGCCTTGAGCCCGGGCTGCCCTCCCACCACCTCGGTTCGGCTCTGCTCAAACAGGTCCATCGTGTCCACCAGCTGCAGCCGGCCCCGCCCCGCGCCGCCGCCGCCCGCAGCGACGACCATGTCCGCAAAGACGTGCCGCGGCGCGAGCATCCGCCCGATCGGCGTCCCGTCGTCCGGCTTGACGGCGCCCGTCTGCAGGTTCTTGACCGCCATCGCCAGCTTTGGGCCCTTGCGGTCCAGCCGCTCGCCGCCGCTCATCACGGGCACGGCGTCGCCGCAGCCCGGCGGCAGCGATACCAGCGCAAGGCAGAGCGCGCTCGTGTTGTCCGCCTCCTCGCCCACGCACCACCTCTGGTAGACAAGCGCGCGGCCCGGCGCCGGCCGAGAGACGAGGTACGTCTCGATCTGCGAGTGGGCTGCGCCCCACGGGACCGAGCGGCGGTACTTGAGGTGCTGGACCACCTCGAAGCTGCCGCCGCCGAGGAACGCCTGCGCGCCGCGCTCGAAGAACTTGAGGTAGTTGCCGTACCTACGACGCATGCAGCTTGCGCTCGGCCGCCCGCTCGGAGGCGCCACGACGAGGGCCGAGCGCGGCGGATGCCAGACGTGGCTGTACCCGTCGATGTCCTTGATGCCGAGCTGGTGCACGTGGAAGACGTACGTCCTTGATGCCGGCATTGTCAGTATACAGCTGCACGCTAGGCCCCTCGGGCGCGGTATAGGGAACTGGCAGTTACTGGCCGTACAATTGTACCGCGTACCGCTTCACACCGAGGGCGCCGTACCGATACCGCTAGGCTCTCCGGCGCCCCGTACCGCTACCCTGTAGCGAGAAAACAGTTCCCCGTACCGTCAGTCGGGAAGGGTTATTTTGAACCTACCTCTGCAAAAAGAAGAAAGAAATGTGGAAGTCGCTGTGAACGCGGGATACTCCGCTTGCCGGACGCTTACAACGGTAAGCAGACAGCACGCCCCCTCCCCCTGGGCTTTCGACGAGTCCGAGGCGCTATCGGCGCACCGCCCGTACCTGACGCACTCTCGCGAGGCGTCTCTCGAGCCGCGCGCCGTCGCCGCGCAGGAGCTGCATCGTTGCGGGCGGCCGCGCCTCGTGTCCGCTGCTCGGCGCCTGGGAGGCGCTGCGCGGGGCGTGCGGCGGCCTGCGCGCCGCGCCGCAGCGCGTGGTCGGCGAGCTCCTCGATGCGCAGCAATCGTGCCACCAGAGCTGTGCCTTCTGCTCGCGGACCGGACCGGCCTCGCCAAAGCCGACCTTCTCCCTCCTCTCTCCGGAGAAGTGTCACGGACATGTCCCACAGGCGCTGCTCTCCTCCGCCGACCAAACCTCGCAGTGCCTCGCTGCCGAATGCGCCGCCGCGTCCGTGCTGCGAGGAGCGGTCGCGCCCGATGTCTCCAGAGGCGCCGCTCGACTTGCCGCTTGTCTACCCACCTCTCCCCACCTCTCCCCACCTCTCCCCACCTCTCCCCACCTCTCCCCACATCTCCCCACATCTCCCCACATCTCCCCACATCTCCCGCTGCAGGTGCCGCTCGACTTGCGGCTGGTCTCCGCAGTGTCGGCCGTCAACGGTCAGCTCAAGTTTCGAGCTCTGCCTCGGCGAGATCTAGCCGAGGTATGGGGAGATGTGGGGAGCCTCGGCTCGCGCATCCCACGCCTCCAATGCTGTGAGACGGCGTGTACTCACAGCTGCAGCTGAACAGGCTCACGCACGCTGCGCCTCAAGGCGTTCGACCTGGCCGACCATATCTCCCCATATCTCCCCGTATCTCCCCGTATCTCCCCGTATCTCCCCGTATCTCCCCGTATCTCCCCGTATTTTGGACTCGGGGGCAACGCTGCTGCTCCTGCTTGGCGGAGGAAATAACAAACCATTGTTGTTCCTCGTGAGGCTCCTCCCGCGTGTGCTGCTGCGTCGACGACTAGCCTGCTGCGTCGACGACTAGCCAGGGCCAGCCGGATGGCTTCCCGCTCCTCTGAGCGGGGGCCGGCCGCGGGTTTGTGGCGCCTGTTCGTGCCGCTGTGTCGACGACTAGCCAGGGCCAGCCGGATGGCTTCCCGCTCCTCTGAGCGGGGGCCGGCCGCGGGTTTGTGGCGCCTGTTCGAGCCGCTGTCTCGACGACTAGCAGGGCCAGCCGGATGGCTTCCCGCTCCTCTGAGCGGGGGCCGGCCGCGGGTTTGTGGCGCCTGTTCGAGCCGCCGGCCCCCGACGACGAGTCGCCACCACTTTGTTGCATCCGCGCCGGCTGATAGGGAGATGGCTAGACGCGAGCGGAGCGAGCGAAGCGTTCAGCGCGGGACGACGAGCCCAGCGGCGAAAGAGAATGTTTCGCGTAGCCAGTACCTCCAGAGTACCGCCACAGGCGATCCGGACGGACCGCGTACCGCGTACCGCTTCACACCCGCGGGGCCGTACCGATACCGCCTACCGGGCCCGAGGGGCCGAGCACGCACGCTCCCCTTCCACTTTCGCCATACGATCGTCCTATGAACACAAAGTCGATTTTAGAAGTCCGAACCTGTCCACGCCTGCCTCAAGGAGCTTTTCAACGCGCTGGCTTGACTGCAAATTGTCGTCTAATATGCGGTTTCCGAGCGTCAGCCGTGGATTGTCGATCGCAACGTAGTCAACGGTCGCCGACGATGGCGGCCGTCGCCCAAGCAGCCCCTCCCACACGCTCCACAGGCGGTCTTTCACGCCACTCGCCGACTCTTCCACCACCATCCGGGTGAGATTGGCCAGCAGGAAGAAGAGTTTGAATGTCGGCGTCGTCAAAGACTCCATCTGAGCCCTGGCTGTCAGGCTGTCAGGTGCTGTCAGGTGATCTGTCGGGCTGTCGGGCACTGTCAGGCACTGTCAGGTGCCTCTGTCAGACAGCTGTCAGGTGCTGTCATTGCTGTCGGGTGCTGTCGGGTGCGTGTCTGACATCAGAGGGGATCTGTAGCTGTCGGGTGCTGTCGGAGCTGTCGGGTGTTGCTGTCAGACGCTGTCGGAGCTGTCAGAGCTGTCAGGCTGCTGCTGCTGTCAGACGTAGGGCCGGTGCTGTCAGGTGCTGTCAGGTGGTGCTGTCGGGGTGCTGTCAGGCTCTGACCTCTGACACACACCAGCCACACTTATGACACTATCAAGAGGAGACCAGCAGGACTCTGCTACACATACTCTAGTCTCTACTCTGCCTCCGGTCCCACCATCACGCCGGCAGCGGCGGCCGCCCCTAGGGAGCACAGATGGCGGCGCAGGCGCAGGCGCAGGCGGCGGCACAGACGGCGTCGGCCACCCCCACCCAGACGCCGTATAGGTATATGACTGTAGGGCCCCAGAAGGCTAGCTGGTAGCTTCATTTGTAGTAGCACAGCAGAGAGAGGACCCATGACCATCCCATGACTACATGGACATGGTATGGACCACCCTCAGATGTCTTTGCATGAATATAGTTTTGTTATACCCTCATGGGGCACAAGAAAGAGGCTGCACGGCCTGTGTACGGTCTGTGCTGCTCAGGTGCTGCTGTCGGGCTGGTCGGGCTGTCGGGCTGTCAGCGCTGCTGTCAGGCCACTGTGAGCTGTCGGGCTGTCGGGCAGCTGTCAGGCTGTCACGTTAGGGCCTGACAGCGACGGGTCGCCTCTGATGTCAGGCTCTGCTGTCAGGCTGTCAGATACGTGCTGTCAGACTGTCAGAGAAAGTGCTGTCAGCGCTGTCAGGCTGTCGGGCACTGTCAGGCGCTGTCCGGGGATTGCTGTCAGGCTGCCAGACCAGGGCTCAGGACTCCATGCGCACTGCGCGCGATCTCTGTTCCCGGGCACGCCGGTCGCAGTGGCATGGGATCCCAGGCTCAAAAGCGCTCAACAGCGAGCTGCTCCTCCTCCTGCCGCCGCTCCGCTCACCGAGACAACTCGGTGCCGCCGTTCTCGCCGCCGCCGCCGCCGCCGCCGCCGCCGCCGCCGCCGCCGCCGCCGCCGCCTCGCGCCTTGCCTCCGTCACCGCCGCCCTCCATCTCGCA